TTAGAAACATTAAATCGAAAAGCATGCACTAAGTTATAGGTCCCGGCAAACGTCTTGAATAAAAAGCTGTGTAGTAGTGATATAAGTTAGCGTATGTCCACCTTAATGTGTTAAATGCATATACGCATTCGGATGCATTTTTCAAGATATTTGCTGGAACCTTACGTACCGAATAATACGTGAAGAGTAATACTGCATAATTTTGCATTTATTTTGATTTAACTCTTTAATTACTGTTTAAACTGCTGTATACTAGTGCATAAACCAAAGTTTGTGGCGTTTTGTAGTGCAATGAGGTTTTATACAAGATTTAAATCCGAGAACAACTTAAAAATAAAAAAAAATATTGTGGACCGAATTGTGAAACTAAACCATTATCGAATCCACCTGAAGAAACGCAAAAAATTTCATTAAAATTGGTTCAGCCGTGTAGTCGTTCAGTGACATACACACGCAAAAAAGAATTTTATATATAAAGACAGCGCAAAAATAGTTAGACCAAGCCTACGAGCAGGGCGAAACAAGCACAATGCGAATACATTGTACATCCGTGTTCTTACCAACTCTGAATTCAATGAAGTTTTATTAGTCTTGACGCAATTTTGGCCTATCTATTACTATAATAAAAATGTAACTGATCGTTGCCTGTAAATGGAAGATTGAGAAAAGTTATTATTGGGGGCCTTTATAAGTGCTTTTGAAGTTTGAATACGTCGAATACCTTCTAATGCAATTTAATTTACACCATGAATTATTTTAAAAGATTTTTCGATTACAATTTTCTTCACATATTCTAAGCAAAACATTCACCTCTTTCATTCTTTTTTCACTTTGACTTTTACCGAGTTCACGTAATCTTCCAATCGGGGTCATTTCTTAAAAATCGAATTGCCTAGGAATTACTGCGGAACAAATTACGTACCTACGGTATATTTTAAACTTACCCCAGGTACATATTTTAAACAATAAAAAAAATAATCTGTAATCAAAAAGTAAAGCCTTAATATTAAAACCAATAAATTATTCAGAACTGATGTTTTGTTTATATGTTGTAATGTTCTTTATTGCATAAAATGATGTTTGTATTATAAAATGTATAAATTTTTGTTACAGAACTTTCAGAAAAGAGTAAGAGAGTTGATAATAGATCAGTACGACAATGGAAATATGAAGGATGTAATGGAGCAGTTCCAAAGAGATGTTATTGGAGCTATGCCTTTATAAATATTTTGTGAGCTTATAAATTAGATATATATATATATATATGCATATTCAAAAAATAAATTATTTAGTTCACAGCATTCTTATTGACTTTCTATGTAATATAAAACAGTGAAAATTCTCAGTTCTAATGTAACAAACATACAAAAACTCCTTTTTGAAGTTAGTTGAAATTAGCCAATTTAGAAAATCGCTGTTGTGGCGTGTAGTTTTCATTCATTTCATGTATCTCCAAAACGAATGCAAATCTCAATATAAACATTACACCAACCAATCTATATTAAATAAGAATACAATTGAAAAAATCTAAATATTCATGTATGTATGTAGTATGGACGTACAATACATAAAAAACCGAACAAGTGCGAGTCGGACTCGCGCACATAGATAAGACATATATACTGAATAATACCTATAAAAACAATCATGTCTGTTGTATGGGAGCCCCACTTATATATTTTTTAGTATTTGTTATAACGGCAACAGAGCTACATCTGTGAAAATTTCCGCTGTAACTATCACGGTTCATGATATACAGCCTGGTGACAGACAGACAGATAGCGGAGTCTTAATAGGGTCATTTTACCCTTTGGGCACGGAACCCCAAATATAAATTTTAAACGACACTAATCTTGTAGGCTGTAGGCCGAAAAGTAAAGGAAATAAATACATGGTAAAATAAAAAGAAATAAAACTCAATGTCCTATAACGCTACAGAATTTTATATAAGTTGTCCTTAATTGAAAAACAAAATTTATTTTTAATTTAAAACGTAATTTTTGTCACGTAATATGTACCTAGTGATTAAGGCGCTGTATGCAGTGAATTTTTATGAGGAAGCGGAGGAGGGGTAACGTCGCTTAGCGGCGCGCAGCGCGCGAGTTTCGTCGACGCGCCACTAGTCCAAGTCATTCTTTACCTAGTGTGTGTGTGTAGTTATGGGCCGTAGGATACTATCGATAGTATCATGGAAGGCTTTCGAAAATTTACACAGATGAGCCCTATAATATCTTTTATAGAACATGATTGTATTTTACTTTTACAAACAAATACAAAGTATCAGAAAGCAATCAACAATTTTAGAAAATCTTCCTGTTAATTATTATTTTTTTAATTTAATGGAAAAGGAATCGATTAAAATACATCTTAAAGTCAAATAAATTAATAAAGGCAAATCACTTATAATTATTATTTTTTTATGGTTTATATTGTGATTTTAAAGAAATGGCTCATAAAATTTTTCCAGAAATTACGAATACAACTTTTTTATTACATTTTTTTTATATATTAGGAATTTTAATTTATCCTTTAAATGTTCAAGACTTACTATGTTATATTACTTTTTCAACTAAAATTAAATTAAAAAAAAACTATCGATAAAATCTTTATTTGTATCGATAAACGACAGCAATTATAACTAGAATCGAAATTTTGTTACTTTGCACAGATCTCGCGTAGCCCGTTGGTCCGAGCGTCATACACAACGGTAAACTATTGCTATAGTCCCAAGTTCAAACCACTCATCGAGTGGAGTTGTATTTTTAATATTATTTTCACTTTTAATTTGTTAGCCAACTAATCATTTTGTTTTTATTTTATAAAATGGATCAATTTGGGAAATAAAAAAATTATAAAATAATTATTTTTCGTGTATAAGATAAATTTTCGTTTTAGGGTGAACAATTAAATAAATTAATAAAAAAATAGATGACGTTAAAAAATTTTAATACTAAAAATTGGTTTATTTACTGATAGATTGTTCTCCAACTGTTTCAACTTTGAACAAATACAATAATATTTCGTTGTAATTATTTATGAAAATAAAAAAATCAACAAATATTAAGTGGTAATTAAGAAATACTTCCAAATAAGAAAATCAACAATAAGTACAACAAAAAATTTAGGGATTTGAACCCAATCCATAAAGAATGATGGTCCTATACACTGTATGTATAAATTATTCTTTAAATAAATTAATTAAAAACTGTTAATACATACAAATAATTTATAAATACGAAATATGTGAATATTATACATTTTTAGTTTCATGTTTTCGAAGGTCTAATAAAATTAAAACTCTCAATAATAAATAAATACGAAACATATTTCGTAACGGTGAGCGGGCGATGAGCAGCATAGGTCCATCTAGCAATGGAAGAGAACCGAAACAACGCCGCGGTGGTGCGGTGTTTTGGTCATCGCGTTCGAATAATTTTAATGAATTAAATTAATATTTACAAATATCTTTCTTCAATCAACAAATAAAGACAACAATCCTTTTTATTAATATATTCTACACCACTGATATTAATTTCATTAAAATTTGTTCATTTATTATATCTATTTTTTAATTGAATTTCACGTTTAAAGTTAGGTTCGTGATTTTTTTCTATCGAGAATATGTTTTGAAAACAATGGTCCATTAGAATGTAAGATGAAGATTAACATATATTTTTTTTGCCTCTATAAAATGTATAGATTTTGTTAAAAAATTTTTTGAAAAACCTATTTTACTGCATACTGCGCCTTAAGGTATTTTTATGAGATTATAATTCAGTGGCTACGACGTGGTCGTTCTTTGATGCAAAATTCATTCTTTGAATAATGTATATAAGATAACAACCGCACAGTTTCATGGCGGTTCTTCTCTGTACAGGTCTACTTTAGCGGACCGATTGTAGTTTTTTTTACTTTTAATAAGAGTTTAAAATAAGCCTTTATTGATTTGTTTATATTTAAATTTAACTGATGTTTTTCCATAGACTAATATAGTGTGCTGAACTCGTGGGCTACCATCGATACGCTGCAATTCGTGAAACCGATTGGCGTTGACTGTATGAGTACGCGACACGAGTTGTATTCGTTTCGCCATGTTCATAGGCGAGGACAAACTATAGTTCGTTCGAGTTATGAATGCAGAAAATCATCAGCTAATCAAAAAATTGTCAAATAATTAGCAATGGTTTGATTGATGAGACGACCCGTAACTCGTAAGCAATCAAATTGTTCCTAATTTTTAGAAGGTCAAGAAAGGTACCAACATACTAATGAGTGATTAAAATATTATATTAATTACTTTATTTTTGAGTTTACACAGCTATGTGTATTTTAATAAATGCAACAAACTAGATCTTTAAAAATATAATTTGTTTGAATTTTAACACCATGGTAAATAAAACTATTCCCTGCACTTATAACTCAATGCCTACTTAACGCCAAGTGTTGCATATCGATAGTAAAGGTAAAAGCAATAGTATCGGTAGTCTATTGATAGTATTGTGACGTGATAGAATACTGCCGATAGTATCGATAGCTCTCCTAGTGCAATACTATTGATAACAGCAATACTATCGATAGTAATGCATGCGATAGTATTGCAATTTCCATTATTTTTTGACAAAACCTATCGATACTATAGATAGGTGTATACTATCGATAGCTATGATATTATCGAGAGTATCGAGTTTTTGGTAGACTGTTGACTTAAGACGATGCTATCAGTAGTAATATGGATATCCTGAATAGTTTTCGAGGTCAACTACCGATGGTTGTTCAACACTAACGCCGACTGACTGCAATCGATTGCGTGGATAGGCCTAAGGGCGGAGGACCGGTTACATTAATTTTTGTGTTGGAGCCAAATTGCAGAAATACATTCATATAAATGGTTAGATTTTTTAATTCAATGCATTATCATTCTTATACACATAGTCAGTTGTGTATGTAAGGATGGCAGGTAGAAAATGACAGACGAAATAATATTAAAATCTATTTATTCAAACCATTCTCCTGAGGAGTTCATTGATCTTATCTTCACGGTTACCGAAGTCACCGCCGTCGACGTAGTGAATGGTCTTCTTACGCCAGCCTCCAGTAGGGTTGTTTAATTTGAAGGGCCACAGGAAGTTGCTAGCATACTGTAAAAAGTATAAGTATTGGAAAATAAAACAGCTATTTAAAGACACTTTAATAAATAAAGGTAAATGTTATGTATATTTATTAAACAAATCTATATATTAAACTATTGCAATCTACTATTTTATAATGTTTGTTAGGTAGCAATATTAAGTAAGTAAGTAAATTGTAAGACTGCTTATATGAATGGGTTGAATGAATTTAAAATAGACATAACATACTGTTAGAAGGAGAGGCTTGTAATGCGACGCTGTGGCGCGAGTTGTATAGGATGTTACAAATTTTGTTTCTTTTTTACTTAATTAGTTTGTTTGAAAAATATATTTTTTTTAATTATGGATATTGTGTAACATTAATATTTTTTTATGATTATTGACAAGTAGCGTTAGACGTGTTCATTTATTGTCGCGATGGTAACGACACGCTGTATAATAGAGAAACCTTACTATATAATAGCAATGATACAAAACTGAGGCCGTAGGCCGCAACAAATACCTTGGTCTACTACGGTAAATCAATATAAAAAGTACTGTCTTCCTTATCAGTGTAAAAAAATTGCATTCAACCTACCTTGAAGTTCTCACCAACTGTGAAGATTTCATGGATAAGATCTTCAATACAGATGATGTTGCTTTTGCCAAGTTTCTCCTCAATAGTCTTGTTGGAGGTGATAGGCAGTCGCTGTCCCTTTACTTTGGCGAAACCTCGTTTGTAGATCAGCTAAAAAAAATAATTACATCAAATAATTTGTTACTACATTTATTTCCAGTAGAAGCACTGGAAGAAAGTATTTTTGTATTTTTTTTAATCCTTGTTAAATCAAAGTTTTTTACAGGTTTTAATACATTGACATGTCCATAAAATACTTGCACTTTACAATGTATGGCATTAATGCAAATACAAAAATTCATTATATAAAAAATCTCCTTGGTAGTAAAATGTAAATCTTGTTATATATGCTTGAACGGTAACTATGTACTAAGGAGCTGCTTATGTTAAAATTTATCAATTTATAACAATAGCAGTATACATAAATATCAGCTCCGCTAGACAACTTATGCTAAGCTAATTTTAGTCAATGAATTAAAATTAGTTAGTTAAATAGTGCTAAAAAATGTAAAAATTAGTATGTTCGTTAATGATTGTTCATTTATCGAATTTCTCCATGTCACCTCTTTAAATAAGCCTAATATATCAGCCAAATAATTATAAAGTACTAAGTAGATCCTATACAAATGTCACCCACCCACAAGTCATATTATTGTAGTAAAAATTATGCAAAATTTGTTTGAGTGCTAGGAAAGTTGACTCAGCATGGTGCGAGCCACCATAGGGGCACACAATTCACTCTGCGCTCCTTTGGCCTACCAAGACATTGTGACAGGGAGGCTCGTGCGGAGCGCAAATTATATCTTAAAAATGCACATTAGGATTTTTAACTTAAAAAAAAAACATAATGCAAAAATGTCAATTATGAAAAGAAAGATTTTACTCACAACACTTAAGATATTACCTCTCTAACACTCTTCAGGTTTGGATAACCCCAGGTAATGTACGGCTCAGCAATGCGCAGCATGTTGATTGTGGCTTTATTGAGACGTACAAATACACCATTGTTGATCTGGCGGAGTCTGAACAGCTGCAGAACTTTGCGTACCTGTGAAAATATGAACATTTACGTAAAATGTGAAAATGATTTTTAAAAAATGATTATGTTCTCTAATTTGTTCTTGAACAACATTAACTAAATGAATAACGGAATATTATATAATATAGAGCATTGATAGATGTGTACATATTTCTCCTTTTAATTAATTATACTCCAACAACGTGAGTTCTATTCCTGGTGCAAGCATTATTGAAATTATTAATTTAAATTTCTGTCATCATGTATACTTTTGAAATAATAATAAAATCTTTTTGTAAATCCACCAATCCACAGTAAAGTCGCGTGGTGAACTAACTGCCCTAATACCCTCCATACAGCAGTGGGATATACATTGGCTGTTACTTAACAATGTAAATATATTATACAGCGTGTCGTTACAACCGTGACAATAAAAGAACACACAACTAACACTACTTGCCAATAATCATAAAAAATTATGAACGTTAAAAAATCCATGCTTAAAAAAATTTCAAACTAATAAAATAAAACGGAAAATTCGTAACATCCTATAATACCACCACAACTGACTGATTCATACATTCAGATACTTTTTCATTTGTTGCCACAGTGTCGCATAATGCCACTTACTATATGACTCGCATTACAAATCTCTCCATCAGTATGTTTTATCTCTTTAAAATTCATTCAACCCATTCATATGCTTTGTGACCTTTACAAATGAACTTTACGTTACAGTTTTATACCTAAGGTGTTCTAAAATTGTTTCTTTTGGAAAATTTTATAACTCGGTAAATATTGATGTTTAAAGAATGTAAAAGTTTAATAGAATTTTAAAAAGTTGTCCTCTATATGTGTGTTCATTTATTGTCGCGGTTGTAACGACACGCTGTATATAAACAGAATATTTCTTATTCATAAAATAAATAAATCTAGAAATTTACGATTGGTGGTGGTGCTTAGACATTTGAATGACATTTGACAGTTGATAAGTTAATTTCTACCATGATCACTGTTTCAAAAACCGGGCGTAAGTCTGTGGAACGCGTATTTACACTCGAAAGACTCTCTATGTGTTTTGAATATTACAACTCACCTCTAATTCTTACGCAAATTCATCATATGAATTGACCATTTCTTACATATGCAGTGGAAATTTGCACCTAACCATTACGTTTGAGATAAACAGGGTTTTATTTTAAGATATCCCTATTTAGGATTTTCCCTCCTACAGAAAGCTAGGAAACATTTAGAGAAATTCAACCATAAATTTAAACAACCTCAGTTAACAATCTTAAAATGTTTGCATACATTTTTTTGCATAATTTACCTTGGGCGAAACTTGGTTGATACCGCGAATACGGATGACAAAGGCAAGCTTAGCCTCACCAGGAACGTAATAGTTACCACGGTTGCGAGCCTAAAAAACAAAAAATATATAAATAAAAACAGAAATGACGTTTAATGTAGAGACAATCCATTAATTTCATATTCCCTGACTTAGAAGCCGAGGAAGATATAAAATTTACCATGTATACTCACTTGTCTGGCTAACCTAATCTCATCACGCTCCCTGATGCGGTACTCCTTAACATACTGCTCTGCTCTCTTGAAGATTTGCTGCTTCTTCTTGATGGCGGCAGAACGCCTCTTTAATGTAACCTAGAAGAATACAGGTTAATTGTATGTTTAAGATTATGTTTAAAAATAAAGGTAAAAAAGAAATAGATATTTAAATTGCAATCAGATATTATAAATAACAGCATCATAATCAGATGAACTATGCCTTTTAGTTTAGTATCATCATCTAAAAAATTTGCCTAATAGATATATCAAATAAATATATTATATTGACACTAAATTACTGACAAATAAATCACTGCACATTTTATGACATTGAGTTGTTAAATGGAGAAGAAAATTCAATATTATTTTACTATTTTATGCATTAATAATTAATTACTAGTAAAGTAATTAATTTACAAACAACAATAGACATAAATATAAATACTAATTACATGTTGTGTGTTATATTTATCTCTTATATTCTCATGTATTTTATTTATATCTTGGGATGCTGTGGGAAGAGCTTTGTTAAACAAAAACAAATATCTTAAACTCTTTGGTATGTAGGAATCTGACATTTCAGATAAATTCACGCTAGCCCAGAAAATAACAAAATATAAACAAAAAATATATACAATTGCAATTCCTATTAACTTGACATCAGAAAATGCTATTTATTGCTTAATAATGACAATTGGGTAATTATTTAGCATGCTGCTACTTAAGAATCTATATATTAATACATAAAGCAAAAACTTTGTATCCATTTTTACGAAAATTGCATGGACGGAGGAGTATGAAATTTTCCACACTTATAGTTTACAGTGAAAGAGTGCAGAATGCTTATATATATTTTGACTTTTATTTTTTTTATTACGCATAAAAATAGATTAGATAAATAAAAAAGACATTAGACACACTACCACTCAATTTTAATTAATTATTATCAATGCTTTATTACAGAAGTTAAAGTTGGCTTTTGCTGTTGGCTGTGCCACCATGGCTACATCAGCGAGTTTGAGTAAAAACAAAAAAAAAAACAGTAAAAAAAAAATAACCTGAATGCGTCGAGTACGTAAAGCATCCCTCCTCTTTCGGTGTTTCAAAACGGATTCGGGAACGGCGGGCAGCTTTTTGCTGTCCTCCTTACCCTTGACAGGCTTCTTCTCAGCCTTCTTTTCTGTTACCGCAACCATTGTGCTGCAAAATTCAACAGAAAAATAAATAAAAAAATTATGAATGTCAAAATTTTAATAACATTTAATAATTTTCTACAACGATAAAAATTCATAAACAACTAAATAACAACGATCTATAACTTGTGAGCAAAACGAAGTTTGGAATTAACAAGGCATGGCACAAATTTTTGTTGTCAAATTTTAGGTTATGGTCGGATAATAGGAAATGTTAATACCATAAAATTACTTATATCGCAATTCTAGTTATGAAAATGAACAGATATCAACATTGAAAATAACAGAATACAAAATAAAATGAAAGGTGTGTATCTTTAAAGTAAAAGCCACACAGCTTCTTCCATCCCCCTCTATACAGAATTGTAGGTTATAGCTGTAACAAACTCTCCGACCAATCATGTTGAGTGGCATTAATATAAAATTTTAGTAATATTAAAGAAACAATTCCAATTTAGAGAAAATATCAGCTCTGATTGGTAAAATTAATCAAACTCGTCGCACGGCTTACACTTAATTTTGACCACAAATTTTGCACATTTCACAAAAAACACAAGTATATCTTATTATTTTGGACACTTATTTAGTTTTCCCTTTTATAAAAGAAGATATTTACCACTAAATAATTATATAAATATGATTTTTAATTAACCTGCGAGGCAAAACTCCACGCGGCACGTGTGACAAATTATCAAAAGAACGACAAGGAACATAGACTTCCGCTGGTCGCCATACTTTATTATTTCAATGGCAACATATAAATGTATAAAATATAATTAATTAAATATTAGTAAAACTGTGATTTATCTTTTTTTTTAAACACAGATCTGTAATTCTATGATAAAAAAAGGAATAAAAAAACTGAACAATTTGAGAGACGAATAAAACTTATTTTCCTTTTAAAAGCTGGTTTAGATTAGGCGCGGATATTTAAAAATGGATATGCTAGCGTTGTTATAGTAACAGCCTAACAAAGCACTTACAAGACCAAAAGTTATTTTGTAACTTAATTTAAATAATTATCTTTATATTAAGAATGGTTGAAAAGGATCCTCAGTTAAATGCCCTTGAAGTAGGTGAACTAGATTTATTTGTCGATAGTATGAAACCTTTCGATATCGAAAGTATCGGAAACCAAGCGTACGTTGCATAATTTTCTCATATTTATTTACGCATTTACTATATACACATTTACTACATCAAGCCTCTGCAGACATGACATTTACCATCAAGTGGGGCTGTGGCAAATGAAAAAAAAAGTTGGCAACTGATTTCTTTTTTGCATATAATTATTCAATCGATATTTGCAGCTGGGTTGATTGGCACATAAGACTGCAGAAATTAAACCAACAGGCTGTATTGGAAGCGTCTTCAATGATGGAAGAAGCCACAAAAGAAACATTGATTTCTCATGGCAAGGTGAAGTAGGTTTTCAGTTTTTTAAATTAGCATTAATAAAACTGTCTATCTAATTCATAACTCGATCCGTACTGTTCCAGTGTATTAAAGTAAAGAATCTGTTAATAAATGTCTTACTGCTGGGCATAATCTTGAAAGTCTGAAAGTCAATGATTGATGAATCCGATGACTCCGTGGCGTTGTTGCCAAGGTATTGGCTTCGGTGTTGGGGGTCGTGGGTTCGATTCCCACACGGGACAACTATTTGTGACCGACAGATAGTTGTTTCGCATCTGGGTGTTTGTCCGCGTGAATTTTATGTTTGTAAAATGTCCTTACAACACAGGATAATGTTATCTAAAGTAAGGGCAATGTTTTTTTAAAAAGAAAGAAAAAATATATATTTTAAAGTATAATATACAGCGTGTCTTTACAATCGCGACAGTAAATGAACACACATATAGAGGATAACTTTTTAAATTGAATTAAACATTTACATTCTTTAAAAATCAATATTTACCGAGTTATTAAATTTTCCAAAACAAAGAATTTTAGAACATCCTTACGTATAAAACTATAACGTAAAGTTCATCTGTAAAGGTCACAAAGCATATGAATGGGTTGAATAAATTTAAAAGAGACAAAACATACCTACTGTTAGAAGGAGAGGCTAGTAATGCGACACTGTGGCAACGAATGAATGTATGAATCAGTCAGTTGTAGTTGTATAAGATGTTACAAATTTTGTTTGTTTTTTACTTAATTAGTTTGTTTGTAAGAAAAAATTGTTTATTGGCAAGTAGCGTTAGACGTGTGTTCATTTATTCTCGCGGTGGTAACGACACGCTGTATTATCATTTCTGAGTCAGCTCGCATCCCACTGCGGTTAGGCAAATTTTACATACTTTCGAAATATATTGTTTTTAATTCCAAAATATAGTTTCCTCATTTTTTAAATGACGGCTAATCCATTGTATTAAATATAAATTTAGTGGTTTGTCATTTTGATTCATGCATATCTAAGGCGGTCGGAGGGAGCATCGTTATGCTATGTTAGCTTAGTATTCCTGATGAATTTCTAAGACATTCCAAGCCCACGTCGTATTATTGTTTAAAAAATATGCTACTATGACATCTTTAATTTTAATTTGTACTCGTCGTTTTGTTTCTAAACACAGCTGCCAGTTCTAGTCCACGAGGCAATTTGTATACAAGTTTGGCGATTAAAAATCTATCCGCAAATGTTGAAATTGGAACCCGTACCGGAAAGTACTTTTGGAATTTATATGATCGTAAGTAAAATTTATTTGTTGTTTTTCGTTGTTAAATTTTGTTTCAGAAATTATTATTTTTAATGGCGTAGTTATTAACGCATCAAAAGTTCAAAAGTCGAAACAAATAACTTAAAAAATTATATTACGAAAAAAAATTTCAGAAGTTTACATTTAGCCCCATGGCTATGGTAGCTTCGAAATTGTGTAAAAATATGATTTTCGAAAATACATTTAAGTTACATCTTGAGCGCAGATTAGCACATAAAAGGATAATGAATATTATAGTGCAATTACATCTTGTTCAACCTTGGTTCAAAGACGGTGAGAACCGCACATCTAGATTTCCTACGGTAATATTTATTCTATTCTTCTTCTTTTTAATAATGGCTTGCTTTGTGAGCTATCATAATTCCGCCAATGTCAAGTTATTTATTCTATACCAAGGTACGATAACTTCATGTCAGTTCCTTTTCGCACTATTAGTGGCGTGAATCGATTCGCACATCCAATGCCCGGTTAATACGAACTAAGAAAACAAACATTCCGTGTAAAATGGTCCTTACTTTTCTCATCTTAAAGCTGTGTTTGTAATAGTTGTATCACGAAGCGGCTGCCGTTGGTCTACTAGAGACGGTGCTATTCCACGAGGATGGTGTTGAGTGCATAAGCGAGGTCGCTATCGATCTCCTACAATACGCCGTCGAACAATTGACCACGTTGATTGTTCTCATTAAGTGAGTGTCTTAAATCCGATTTTACAATAATTATAATAAATCTTCTTTTAAAACTATTATTGAATAAGATCACTAAAGATAATATGATATACCCTACGCATAATGTAGCGACTTTTAGCGGATCAATCGTGATGTTTGACATTTTTACCCTACTGCACCATAAGGAGGGTTATGTCGAGAGTATGTATGCATGTATGTATAATCTTTTGGCACGCTCTGCAGCCTGAACGGCTTCATGGATTTTAACCTTGAGAGGTTCAGTTCAGTAGATTCATATTTACTATGAGAGAGACACTGGGTATACCAAAATAAAAAAAAATACGCAGAAAAGCAGTCGGAATTTTTTAAATTGTCTGTTATCATATATTATTTATTAGGGTATTTCTTGAATGTGCCTGTGCCAATAAGGCGACAGTGACAGATGTTTAACATAAAAAGAAAGCCTTTCGTAGAAAATAGTTGCTCGGACCATACATGTTGCAAACAATTTTTGATATACGTAGTTTCTATTAAGACTCTTTCATATATCGAAAATTCTATGAAGACTTGATTTAGGTTCAGACGTTCTACCGGTACTTCTGTGGTCAGATTTAACTTTTGCAAATCGACAGTAGATTTTTACTCCATATGTGGTTGAAAATCTTTAATGTAACAAAAATTACGATGAGTTGAGAGCTCTGACTAATCTATGAAAGTAATATTCAGTAAATCTTATTCAGTAACGGTTACATGAAACCCATGTCGGTGAAGGAAATGGAATGCGAGACCGTTATCGATGAGCTCGAGAGGCAGAAGAGGGACCTGCAGTTCGACATTAGCATGAGATGCATCTCCATTGTTCGGTAAAAGAAATATGTGACTTCTTTATCTCTATCCGTAATAACTTCTCTTTTATCCCTGGGGATCAAAACAGGCTTTTTCGAATGCTGGGTTGTCGAAAATGCTCACGCTTATGCAAGTGTTAAAATGTACTTAAACTATTGGTTATGACGTAAGTGACGATATGACGATGAGAGGCGAAAGCTTGTACATGACCAAGTCGCACTTGACAGTAGCTTTAGGCAAGGTGATCATTTCTCTGTCTTTACAGCAGCTTCTTAAAGGGAAACTTGTTCTTTACTCTTGCTCTTATCCTATCTAAGTGGGGTCGACACGACGTATGAATCATGTTGTTAATGGTATTTATTGTTCAGATCTTTATACATTTCGTGTTTGAAAATACAATAGGTAAATAGATCAATTTGAGCAGAGTTTCTTGCCGTATTCCTGTTGTAGCTATGTGAACTAGTTAATTTAAACATAATTTTCTATTGAAAACAAATACATATTATCCATAGATACGCCCAGACTACAAAATGAATTTAATTCAAATAAACATCTTCATACAGAATATGTATTTGTAAGTTGTTCAAACACTTGTATCGTACTTATCATTATCGAATCCCCGGTCTGCGTTGCAAAAGACAATATCTTAGCGTCTACGCCAATATTACCACCATTACGACCACAGCTTTTTCGAATACTATTTATTAACATTCACTTGATTTGTAATGGATTATGTCACATTTTAAGTCCGCAGAATATGTATAGCTTGATCGTTTAACCTTAGTTTGAAGCATGTATTCTCTGATCAGAGCGTAGAACACAGTAGGTACAATATGCCACACTGTCCCCAGCGCAAATTTTTGTACCTGGTATATCTTAGTGACTTCTTTGTAAGAACTTTACTATGCAGATTTTATCTGACGCTGTTTTTACATTAGGTATCTCGCTGAACACATGGAAGTGTCGGGATTAGGCGCGTGTAGCGCGACCAATCTTTACAAAACCAACGATGTTCCCTCCATACTTTGTCACTTGCTTCAATTGGAACCATGGAGAAGGATTAATGACAAAGGGGATCTACAAGTTTTTAACTGTGAGCGTACGCTTCTTTTTATGCTTTTGGTAAAATTATTTACGTTCGTTTACTGTGTCATACCTCTCTTACAGTCAGTATTAAAATAGTTACAGTCAGTATTTTAATAGTGACTGTAAGGCTGGTCGGAACAAATTTTGCATACTACAAGGATTTGAACAGCCACTCGTAAATTATATGTAGTGATCTTGGGATCACTACATATAATTTACTTGCACCAGCCGAAATATTTCGTTTTCCAACCGCCTAGTTTCTTCGCGCTACACTTTCATTGCCATCATAATCATATCAAATTAAGACAATCATACAGAATAGAGACGTATACCCACGGAATCGAAAATAGTGTTGCCTGTTTTCAGTGCATATACCTTCAGTATATTGCACATGGAGGACCATTCAAATCTAAAATCTCGTGTTTTGCAAAACATTGTCAAGGGAATGGGTGAATAAAATATGTTATATGGGTAAAACTTATTTTCTATGATTGAATCTAATTGTCTATGGTTGATTAAATTTAGATGGCCGTTGGTCGAGGCCGAGCACTGAAGACTTGACGCGTATGCACCGCAGCGAGGCGCAACTCTGGCTGTGCTTGCGGCAGCTACTCTTGGAACCGCGCCTTCAGCACTATTATGTCATCGACGAGTGTCGTCGCACGTCCTTCTGTCGTGTATGTATCGTTTTTAAAGTAAGCGTCGGTTCCTTAGCAGCAGAACAAAACTTCATCTGTACAGACCTTCATAGAGGAACGGTCGGCCGCACACCTGCGGATTGCTTTTTAATAACTGTGGTGTTTAACTTTAACTGCGGTAAAGCATAACAACAGTCTTCGCTGTTTCATGAATGGGCAGGTCCATCCGGAGAAGTACCACAGAAGACCGACGTAAAGTGGGAGTGTTATACTTCTGCGTTTCGTCCTTGAGTGCCGGGTAGCCGGGGCCGACTATTAAATGGTGGCAACGCATCTGTGACCCTACGGATGTTACAAATGTCATGTGAACCGCTAGCCCACTTGCCACCTTCTCACATAAAGAATAAAAATCAATGTCCTTGTAAACGTAGACTGTGTTTTTTTTTTGTGTGTTATAAATATTTATTTAAACACCTCAACAGTTGCAAGCTAAGATGACAGATGAAAAGATAGATCAAATCCCGCCATTGGGGGAACTTAAACATTTGCTCTGTCAAATGGCCATTGGTGATTATTCAAGTTTGCATAACCGCGGGAACGGCGTTAAGAATCCCGGTTGTGCCGTTATTGAAGTTGTACCACAGGTAATATTTTTTATCGAATCTGTAAAATAATATAAAATATATTGGGTGATCAAATGGCACATCACTACATAGTATAAAACAGTCTGTCCGCTGTCTGTCTGTCCCTATGTATGCTAGATCTTTAAAACTACGCAGTGTTTTGATTTTTTTACTAGAGAGAGTGAATCAAGAGGATAGTTTATTACATGCATTATACATTGCACCCGTGCGAAGCCGGGTAGTTACAAATTAATGTATTGTTTTAATTGAATTGAAGTAATTGAAAATTATAGAAATATGCTCATTCAGACCAGCTGTGATGGATTTGAGGGAACAATTTCAACTCTTAAAGAAGATAATTTTCAGAAGACGTTTCTAATATAACAATATTTCAGGCATCATGACAGCGTAAAATTTAAATCTAATACATAATTAACAATACTAACAATTATTCACGTTTAATATGCATTCTTACGTACTCAGAGCTTCAATCAGCGTTTCAATAATTTTTTTTTTATTATTCTAGTTTTAGTATGTACTTCTCAAATTAAAATATTTAATTCACTATAAGCTAAGTATAAGTTTAGTCAACATAATAATCATAATCTAAGATTTGTTTTTTGAGAAAAGCTTACAACCACTTCACCACCAGGGCCGGATTTACCATGAGTGCTGCCCTGGAGCACCGTGAAAAATGCCGCCGCATTGGCCATATTCTACTTAAATTGCATAGATGTTCAGAGCATCATTGATTTTCTAAATATTGTAATCATATACTTACATTAAAAATATTCGGGTTTGACTTTTTGTAAAAGTAAAGTAACACCCTATACATTAACAGCATTAAAATATACATGCATTAGCACCGGGGATCGAACTCGGGTTGCTCGAGTATATTGAATTATAGGCGAGCGCCCGGACATTGAGCTATCACGGCTCACTTTTTTTTTATTGAAAATCATAATTACATCACACTAGCCCGTAGTGTAATCTATAATAATCTAGCGCTACTCAACACTACAATGCAGAAATATAAATGACTAGCCGCTGCCCGCGACTACGTCTGCGTAGAATGAAATCTGAACACTTAACAATCAGACAGAAAGGCAAACACATAAAAATATGTATATATGTATACAGCGTGTCGTTACCATCGCGACAATAAATGAACACACATATAGCGGATAACTTTTTAAAGTTGTATTAAACATTTAAATTCTTTAAACATCAATATTTACAGAGTTATTAAATTTTCCAAAATAAAGAATTTTAGGTTACAAAGCATATGAATGGGTTGAATGAATTTAAAAGAGACAAAACATACTGTTAGAAGGAGAGGCTTGTAATACGGCGCTGTGGTGCGAGTTGTATAGGATGTTACAAATTTTGTTTCTTTTTTACTTAATTAGTTTGTTTGAAAAATATTTTTTTTTAATTATGGATTTTGTTTAGCGTTAATATTTTTTTATGATTATTGGCAAGTAATGTGTTCATTTATTGTCGCGATGGTAACAACACGCTGTATAGCCTATGCGTTATTCTAATGTATAATTATATATTATTGTGAAGTTTCATTAAAATCCATTCAGTAGTATTTGCGTGAAAGAGTCACAAACATTCATCCATACATACAAACTTTCGCCATATTAGTAAGGATAAGCTGTTACAGCATTAAAATATATATAAATTAGCACCGGGTATCAAACTTAGGTACCCGGACACAGCTATCACGGCTCATGTTTTCTTAAAAAACATAATTACATAACATTGGACCGTAGTGCAAAACTAGTACTACTAACCACTAAAATGCAGAAATGTAAATGATTTACTTCAACTCAACACGGGTCCTATATGATACCGGCCCCTAACCGGACGATCCTGACCACTGGTGCAACCGAAGCTGCTGCCTGGCTCACTGAGGACTGTCTGAGCAAATGAGTTTGTTTGTAAAGCGTAAACACTTGCCAAAGATTAAAGAGGCGTTACTGCGCGTAGTGCATAAGCCTGCAAAGCGTAATCGATCACTGCAAAGTAACAGCCCGCGTACATGTTCTATTCCTTGGCAAAAACTTCCTATCTACAGTTGATTTTCACACAACCCCACTGCGGATTGGCATACTTCACATATCTCATATTTTTTTTTGTTGTTGCGGCTTGGCAGACTTCACGCATCTTCGAAATAGTTTTTTTTGTTGTTTCGAAAGTAGCAGGTTCGGGGAGACTACTTATTCCCTCGCCGCCAACGATATTCGGCCGCTTGCCACAGATCAAAGAGGCGTTCCTGCGCGGCGTGCACAAGAGGAGGAAGGCGTTAGCCGCGGCGCAGCTGGAGCGGTGCCACGTGGACGGCTCGGAGGAGTCGCGCCGGAGCGCGAGGCGGCTGCTCGACTCGTACGCCAGCGAGGCCGCTTTGGCGATGGACGGCGGCGGCGCGAGGTGCGCTCGTTGCGGCGACAGGGCGGCCAAGAAGTGCTCGCGGTGCAAGACCGAGTGGTATTGCGGGAGGTGATGATGCAAATTGTTTTTTTTTTTTTTTAACCGACTTCAAAAAAGTAAGTTAAGTAAAGTATGTTTTAAAGTTTTTTTATAGTGCTAGTTTTTTTTATATTGATGACTCCGTGGCGTAGTTGCCAAGGTATTGGCTTCGGCGTCGGTGGTCGTGGGTTCGATTCCCACACGGGACAACTATTTGTGTGACCCACAGATAGTTGTTTCGCATCTGGGTGTTTGTCCGCGTGAAGTTTATGTTTGTAATACGTCCTTACAACAAGATAATGTTATCCTAAAGTAAGGGCAATGTTTAAAAAAAAAACTTAATGAAAAACTTAAAAAGTGCTAATCTCTGCACTTAAGATTAAACATTGAAACTTGTAGAAAGAGTGCGAAAAGATTGTCGCCGCTGCGGGAATCGAACCCCCGTCTTCGGCATTCGCGGCCTGACGCTTTAGTTAGCCACCAAGCTAAACGGATGATTGACGACACACCGACGAAAATCTTAACTTCTTTTTATCTACATTGCGGCGACAATCTTTTCGTACTTTTTCTATAAGTTTTTTAGAAGTATGTTTCTCAATTCGACTGTAGTATATATATTTTTTTTTATGTGTGTTCGCGGATAACTTCGTCGTTTAGGGACCGATTTTGAGGATTCTTTTTTGTTTCAAAGGATATTCCAAGGGTGGTACCACGATCAGAGGCGGATTATCCTTAAGGCAAACTAGGCATGTGCCTAGGGGCGCGAGGGTACAAAGGGGCGCGCGGATTACACAATAAAAACTGTTATTTTTGCTTAGAACCTCAATATGCTTCAATTTATAACAAAAGATAAACTTAAAGGATGGGGCTGACTAAAACTTGCGCCTTCAAACAATCTTATCGATGGTACATGATCTCTGATTAAAGTAGGAAAGATAATTACGTCAAGTCGATCGCGACTTGTGATTACCGGAATCGGACGTCCCTGTTTCTAAAATTGCGGCGACGAGTGCGGTGCGGGAGTAAAAGCTAAGCGGTCAGGCGCGAACAAGTGAGTGGAGAGTGACACGACTTTCAACTTTTTTGTCTTTGCGCGCTTTTTTTTCTATAACTTATTTTTTATTTTTATGTTCAACGATGTGGGCAAACTCTTCGAAAGAGTGATCGCGGGCCACATAGTCGATCATTTGGAGCACGTCGGCCCGAACCTGGCAGATAGGCAGTTTGGGTTCCGCAGGGGTCGGTCAACCACCCACGCGTGTTGCGAGTGAGGTCCCTCGCACAGGAGGTAGTTTTCCAGGGAGAGGTCGTCTTGGCGGTGTCTCTCGACATCGCTAATGCCTTCAACACCTTGCCCTGGGTTTGCATAAAGGAGGCGCTCCGGTACAATGGAGTGCCTCTCTACCTGCGCTGCATTGTCGAAGTCTATTTGTCGCACCGTTCTGTGGTGTACCCGTGCCGAGACTGTCACCGGACAACAGAGGTGACATGTGGAGTTCCACAGGGGTCGGTGCTAAGGCCACTCCTGTGGAACGTAGGAATGATTGGGTGCTACGTGGCGCCTACCTCAGGTGCCAAGGTAACGTGTTACGCTGATGACACCCTTGTTACCACCGCCCTTGGCACCAATTTTCGCCGGGCGGCTTGCCCGCCGCCGGAGACCAGGGCGTAGGAGGCTGGCCTACGCGTGCAACCTTCCCCTTATAGCAAGCCCCGGGGTGGCAGATCTGGGAGTAACTGCTGCCCCGCGGTGGTCTTGAGAGGGGTGCATTGTTTATTGTACCGACGCGGCACCATTTGGCTGGACCGGATGTCTAAACACCCAGGAAGAGGAGGCCTGAGAAGGGCACAGTCGCGCCGGGGTTAGCGGCAGATAGCGTTTTCGTGTTCCCGTGTCCCCGGCAAAGCGACAGCGCAGGTGCAACGTGGGTTTTTTAGTGGGTACCCCGTAACACGCACGTACCCCTGCTGCCTACCCACAAGGCGGAGGATCCATAAAAGATTTGTCCCACTCAAATTTAAAAGTGGCTACGGCCTCGTCATGCGTGCGTTAATTATAGTATGTCCCCTACGGGCCGTACGAAGGGTTCGATTTACTCGAGACCCCTTCGACCGATGAGGTCGATTTCCAGAGAGAGAGATTTCGAGATTCTTCGATGTGGACGTTGCGATGGTGACGTTTTTTGACGTTGGAGATATTCCAGAGTGTTGGAATGATGTTCAGGTCTGTCGAAGAACCATTTGGTAAGATATTTAAAATGTTCGTGAATCGTCGGGAGTCTGTAGCCACTGTGCAGGTCGACGTTGCGATGATACCACTCCGCACCGGTTGCGCGGCGTATGAACTTATTTTGTGCTATTTGCAACTTGTACAAGCGGGTAGGGTTTGTGTGGGCATAGGTCATGCACGCGTAGGACATAATAGGTCTTACGCAGGCCTTATATAATAATAATTTGTGCCTTAAGGGAATTTTACTTGACGCATTGATTAGGTTAGAGAACGCCGGAGACAAATGTGGCTCTGTTTCTAATACCGTTAATATACGATATGAACGTCTTGCGTGAGTCGAAAGTGACTCCTAGATATTTGGCCTTTTTCTCCCAAGGGCTGTTGGCCGTAAAAAGATATTTGCCCTAGTTTTCTGCATTAGCGAGGGCCTTTATAAAGGTGTGACGGTTAAGTACTTCATGTGAAGTGAATTGTCACACTCTTGTCGGATTTACTTCTATTCTCCACTTACGGAACCTATCGCCGAGGCGGTCGGTGGCGCTTTTTATCTGTGTAAAAGAGCGCCGTGTCATCCGCGAAAATGACATGTGGGTTTTTTGATATGTCGCTCGTGTAGAGCGTAAAAAGAAAAAGGGAGAGGCAGAAACCGTGAGGAACGCCCGCCATGAGAGGGCAGTTCGTAGAGAGGGTGCTCTCTACTCGATATCGAAAGGAGCGATTAAACTAGAAGGCCCGGCGTATGTGCGTGAGTCTGTCTGCCACGTTGAGTGAGTGTCAGCTTGTAAAGGAAGCCAGACCTTGTCCAAAGCTTTTGGAATATAGAAGAAGAGAGCCCCGTGCTTAGGTGTTTGAGGTGATTAAAACCTTTCAGAATGTGTTCCGTTAGGTGGATTAATTGGTCGGTAGAGTGTCTAGCTCGAAGGCCGAATTGTTCATCTGGCATAAGTCCGTTTGAAAATACCTACTCTTTGAGTCTATTTAATATGAGCCACTCGTAGAGCTTTCCCAAGCAATTAAGGAGGCTGATAGGTCGATAACTAGATGGTTTATTAGCGTGTTTCTTCGGCTTGCGAATGCCGATGACAGTGGCTTCTTTCCAGTCATCCGAGAAGGAGCAGCTGGAGAGAAGTGTGTTTAAAATTGTCGCCAGTATGCAGAAAATCGGCCCAGGGAGATATTTTAAGACTTATTGTGGGGGATATTCATTTGTTTTCTCGTCTGGTTGGGTTTATAAATAAAAATAATAATAAAGATATAGATATATATTGCATATATAAAATAAATATTATGGATAAAAATAAACATATATACATATATATATATATATATATATATATATAAATATTTTATATAATACATATATAAATAGGACCCAACCAGACGGAAGCCCTCGGCAGGGGAGACCAAACGGCCGAGGGTTAGGGCGAAAGGGAGAGAAACCGGCGGACGATGCGGGCGGTATCGAGGAGCACCGGCTTCTGCATTTGAGCCTGGAGCGATCCGTCCCGGAGTCCCAGTCGCCTCAGATGTTTAGAGAGGCTGACTGGGATCAACCCATTCGCAGACACGACTATCGGGATAATTTCGGTCGGCACACCACCCCACATGTCGGTCACCTCGTGAGCCAGGTCCAGATACTTCGTCTTTTAAGACTTTATTATTAATTTTATCTGGGCTTGGGCAAATTTGGGTTTGAGATTTTTAATATTATCTTGGACCTCGTGGGGGGTCACTGAGGTTAAAGGTTTACCTACCGGTGGTAGCGCAGCCAAGCCAGCGATCCAACTCCGTTAGGTGGGCTTTATCGACGTGTTCGCGCGATGGCGTACATTGCTGCTCTAGGTTGTCCGCAAGGCATCCGGCTTTTTAGAGTAATCTAGGGCTAATCTATTAAAGCACTATTAGTTATTACTAACGGCGGTAGGGATTCACGGGGCTATGCTTTTAAACTACGGGCCAAGGCTCGATGTCTTCTAGTAGAACGTTCTACGTGGTTTGGCGTTTTTCCAATACGCGATCTTTGACTTCTAGCTAAAACTGTCGAAGTAGAGTTCGGTTCGATTCTTTGTTGTTTACGTTCTCGCTGCAGTCGTATGTGTGTATTTAATTAGTCCATTAAGTTTTTGTTTATTACATAAAGAAGAGCTGTGATAGCTCAGTGCGAGCCGTGATAGCTCAGTGTCCGGGCGCTCGCCTTTAATTCAATATACTCGAGCAACCTGAGTTCGATCCCCGGTGCCGGCACCAATGAAGTTTTTAACTTTAAGTGCTGACTTATCACGTGCTCCGCGGTGAAGGAAAACATCGTGAGGAAACCTGCATATTTTCGAAATAGTAATAAAAAATATATATTTCGAAGACATGTGAAGTTCGCCAATCCGCAGTGGACTATGCCCTGTATAGAGGAGGCCTTTGCCCAGCAGTGGGATATGTATAGGCTGTTACTTTAACTTTTTTACATAAAGAATGAGTAAATTAAGAAAAAACCTAGTGGTGCAGAATATAAAAGGAAGGTTATACAGAAAGAAAAAAAAACATTATAATGTAATAAAGCAAACGAAAAATATTGAGACTTCTTATTGAGATTCTTTTCAAAAGGATGATTCTGAATCTTCTAAGGCATTTCAAAGTACATTTACTGTCGATCTTATGAAATATGAAATTCCTACTAGTTATAAACGACCACAAAATTGTGAAGCAGTCGCAAAATAAACTGTTTATAGTGGATTGTGACCCAGTCAATTGGGACATAAATAACGAAACACAAGAATATAATTATTGCACTGAATGGTTTAATCAAGATACCCATCTTTTTTCCATTAGGGCCGGGTGTTTTTCAACCAAACAAAAAATTTTAGAGAAAAATCAGTCATGAAATAATCAACAAGCAGAATTCTCTGTATGCTTATAGTTTTCGAGAGGAAAAATTTAAAACTTGTTTTTTTAATTTACATTAAAAAGCTCGACTGGCGTGTAATGCAAGAAATTATTATATAGGGAATTTCTTGATTTTGGGGTTTACATGCCATGCGTACCTTACAGCTTTAAAGTAGGGGCGCCGATGAGATGCTTGCCTACAGCGCTCTGTATTTAATCCGCCTCTGACCACGATAAGGAAACGGATCTGATGATGGCATCCCAGAGAAATCGAGGGCAATCCTCAAATGTTATAGATATTGACAATGTTTTTTAGTTTCCGGTTTGAAGTGTTTTTTTTTTTTTAATTGTAATTATTAAACTGTTTTTCCTGGGTTTGGAGAAAATACCGTACTGAGGGAATTTTCACCATGCGCCACACTTAAAAAGCGACAGCTTTATTATGTTACCATGGCGATCGATAACGACTTTTTGACATTGACGGTTAACCTATAATTCCAAATTATTCAATTAAACCGTTATTTAATGTTTTTTTTTTCAGGAATAATACTAGCAACATGATGATGATGATGAACCAAATATTTTATCCCGTGTGCTAGTATTATTCCTGAAAAAAAAATGGGATAAAATTTTTGGTTATTTTTCTTTTTTTACGCTAAAGTATAACTTCTTAGGGGGGGCGATAAGTGTACAGTTAAGTTATTTTTAAGTGAAAATTTGTCAGGCAATTAAATTGACTAAGAAATGAAAATATTGCTCTTTTTAATGTTAATCGTCCAATATAGCGATGAAAAATGCGGGCAAAATTATATTGCAGGGAATGCCAAGTGCAGCAATGGCCGAAACACAAGGAGCTTTGCGACCAGTTTTCCAAGCTTTATGTATCTGGTTAAACATCTCATTGGCTTCATCATCATGTATAGTCCATGTTGATTTCTATTTTCTCTGAGTAAATTGGCATGAAAATAAAAACAAGCGGTTTTTTTTGGGCTTTTATTAATATACCATAAAACCTAAAGATTAACTTGAAGACTTAAGGTAGTCTTTAAGCACATCTAGCGCTGGCGTCTCCTCTCCAAAATCCTATAAAAACAAATCAGGCATCAGAATATAATCAATAGTAAACATTTAAAATTTGCAGATGGATGATGGATAAGAAATTACTTCCGTACCAAAGGGATATACAATTCTGAATTCCAAAAATTCCAGTATATTGGCGTTCATGCATTAAATACAATGAAATCCTTAACAATATTTTATTATAATAATATTTATTACTATGGAATTTAAAATTAGCCATAGTGAGAATGGATAATGTATCATCAACTTGCATATTCTGTTCTATTATTAATTATTACTGTCTGAATGATAGGAAAGTTGCTCACACACTAGTGTGGAACCATAGGGTCAAACAAATTTATATTACGCCATATTGTTCGTCACTAACAACTAATACACATTTGTCAGTGCTCGTGCAAGCGCAAGAATCATGGCCGCAAAACGAAATGCAAATTAAATTTCCATTAGCGAATGAGCATTAAATTGTTTCTTCGTCAAAAGGAGCTTTTATAAGTGAATTTTTAAGGCTTAATTTTGCAAATAAAAAAAATGTCAATTTGAGTTATGATGTCTGCACTAATTGTGTAAACACTAGCTGCCTCATCTAAGGAGTAATCGGTCAGGGCCAGAGCGGAAACAGAGGTAGCTGCAGTAAGTGGCGCACATATGAGTTTGCTCAGATTATGTACTTGTGCCATTTGTTGTTGAAACTTTAGGTCCATAGGTACCAGTACATTGGAATTTTTTAAACTTTCACATTATCGCTGTAGCTGATGACAAGAGGGCTGGTTTTTATCTTGCTCAAATATTATGAGTAACTAATCAGTGAGGAAAGTTCAGCTAGCGTTCTTGCAGTGTGGAATGTATTTATTTGATAATATGAAATTTTGTTAGATTTCATGTTCTGAGCAATGGATATATGAATAAATTTTTTTAGGAATAAATTTGATTTGATTAAAGCTAATTGAATCTCTGAGTATGATGGATTTAGATAAAAATAAATATATATATTAACGCTAACATATAACTTCTGAAAAGGCAATTCTTATATTAAGTATTGTTTGAAGTTATTTTATACAAGTATCTGTCCCACAGATATTAATGAATAATTATCAAATTTACTCACTTTGATCACCACACATGAGCAACCGACTATCTTCCTTGCCTTGCCATCTTTGTCAATTTTGCATAAACCAGCCCATTCACCAAGTTTTTTATTGTTGTCAACCTGTATGTTACAATGAATTAATGAATAATTATATTCAGATAAGAAAATGTGTTATAAAAAATTAAGACCAAGTATTTATTTACATGTTTGAGTGCTAGGAAAGTTGACTCAGCATGGTGCGAGCCACCATAGGGGCACACAATTCGCTCTGCACTCCTTGTGCCTACCCAAACATTGTGATTGGGAGGCTCGTGCGGAGTGCAAATGATCATGTTTTTTTATAATACATCTTTCTAAGCAGTGATTACACAAGCATTCAGATTCAAATTGTAATAATTTCTTCAAATTTGCAAATAATAAAAAGAATATTAAATGTTCTATTTCTATACCTTGTAACAGTACATAAATCACAATGAACAATTTAAATGGTCCTGAGGATAACTATAATCATAGGTATTTGTGAAAATGCTTTTTTCTTGTTTCAAACTAACTGGATTATATCAAAATACACAAACTTATGGTGTTAATGCCATGTAGTGTACATGCAGTGTAAAACTATCATTTTTTCAAAAATATGTGAATTTTGTTATGGATTACAATAGTGATTGTTTACCTTTACAAGAGGGATTTGGTGCTCATTGCATAGTGCCTGTACAAGTTTCTTGTATGCAGCCTCATCACAGTTCTCGGCCAGCACACAAAGGACTGCTTGCCTCCTAATGTACAAAATTACAAATATAAAGAACACAAATAGCAAATGTGTTTTAATTTAAAGATAGATGCTCCATTATATCAATTCTTCAGATCAATGGTTTTATAATAATAAAAAAACACATTTAGATTAAATCCACCCTTTCCATTACATTTTCTATGTTGTATTAAATTTATTGCTTGGATTAAAATAAAGATTATGGCGAGTTTGGTACTCGTTTTAAACAGAAAAAAAATTATAAAAAATAAATATTGTCTTAAATATGCCTATTATTGTGGATATATTAAATTTTATTGAATAAAATATACTGTATGATGTATATTGTAGCACACTTGGGAGGCCACAAACTTGTCTAATCAAATATTGTGGTACTATGTGTATGCACTAATTTTGGCAATAGATTGGACCCAGCATAACCTGTGCTATGTCAGATATTTCCACTAAGCATGAGACTAGAACAGCCGCACATCTAGTGAATGTTTTGTTAAGTCTATTGCCATTTACAAATAAAAGAAACCAAGAATACCTATACTAGTATATAATTCTTCCCATACGTTTATAGAAGTTTGTATATTGATAAAGTGCTATTCAAACAAGTCACAGGACAAATCATTTTAGCAATAGGAAAGGATGTCAAAAAACAAGCGTTGCTTACTTGTCAAGGGCTTTAGCGGCTTCGTGGATACCATGCACCAGACCTCCATGGATAAGAGCAGTTTTCAGCACTTCCTGCAGAGCTGTATTTACGTCCATAGCCCCACCGCTAAGGACCGGGTTGACGGGTACCTCGCTGCGAAAGTAAGGTTACTATTTTGTGTTAATTTGTATTTTTTGACTTTGAGATGCAAATCTTTGGAATAAATTTAAGATAATTGACGAAACGACGAAACATCGTGTCAGTGGAAATTAAAGTACTTGAAACACAAATAACTTGAAAACCGAACACCATGATAATGTAGGTTATGTTGACAATATTTCTCTTCTTTATATTATGTCCATTCTTTGATAACGCTTAATATTTCCAAGTTTAAGGAGTTTTATCGAATCAATAGCTATTATTTAGACCTTAATTAATATTTAAAACTGTTTTATAAGAATAACAACAACACTTACACTTCAACATCAGCCATGGTATATCACAATATTTAGCCCTGAAATATAAAATAAAACTAGTTAAGTAATTATTCTTCATTGCAGTTGTTTTATAAAGAACACTTAATTCGAAAAGATCTCTAAAATATTTGTAGATAGCTAAAAATGCATTACAAACACTTTGACACTTTACCTTGCGTACCGGAAAAAGACTATGGTAGAGTTTTAATTTTATGACGTCACAATCCATGTTCGTGTCATTCGAGTATCTACAAATGATTTTTTTGAAGCAGGTAATCGATTTTAATTTCGTTCAATTCATGTTGACATTAAAAATCTTTGGAATGGCGATTTATGAGTCATAATAACAAAAAAAAAATTAAACTAAAATAATGATTATTTATCCCTTTCAAAATATTGGCATATTTACATATTTTTTCGTTATCTATCTGTATCTATTGTATCTATTATATAATAATATTTTAAAGCGGAAAGATTTGTACTTAATTTTTTGTATCTTTACCTAATAAACTCAAAAATTACTGGACCGATTTCAAAAATTCTTTGACCATTAGAATGTTACATTTATCCTGAGTAATATAGGCTATATTAATTTCTAGAAAAATACGTAAACATCCCAAGGCCAAAAAATTTAACATTATAATCATTTCACGAAAGGCGTTAATCTTCCATTATTGAAATCTTCGCAATTAATCACGCTTAAAAATAATACGTAAGCGATACATTAGCGACCTAAAAATGGGGTATCATGTGTAGCTAACGAATCGGGGACTTCATGTTCGCTGGTAAATACGTTATAGAATGAACGCCTTGTGTACTGCTCTAAGGGCGTTGGTAAAGTAGGTTTTTTTAATGGATCGTCCACCGTTGGCCTTGAAGAGGCCTGTAAAGATTGACGGAACTTGAGGTGGCCGGGCGCTGGGGCGTTAAGCCTGTACCTCGATTATGAGTGACTAAGCTCGATGAATCGCAAGGGAGCCTCGGCTCGGGCCATAACGCTATTTTTGTTAATGGTTTGGAAGCCCGCCAAGCTCTTAGGTCACTTTGGCGCACGCTCCATGGGTCCCCCCTCAAGCTGGAGTCTCAAGCTGTGGCTGTTACTCAGAAACTATTTAGCATTCCGATACGAGGATGCTCGAAAAGGCCGCACCTCGGCTTGATTGCCTCAGTAGCTTTTATCTGACTAGAGAAAGTGGGGCTTTATCAACCCGTTCCTATAGCTAGGTGTCGCGACGGCTATGGGTGAGTTCATTGTTTAACGCGCGTTAATTCGTCGTAGGGATCGCCTGAAACGCTTAAAGGACGTTGAAGAAGTTAAGGAACACCCGCTGTTTAACAGTTAGAGAAAGCTTGCAACGGACTTGAATGACTATAATTTTTTTAAAATGTCTAATCGACGCTTCTTTAACGAAGATGGACAGAGTACTGGTGTTAAGCTCACTCATTTAAAATTCGGAGTCCCGCACATACTATGAAGCGTCGATTGCACGACGAAGAAATTGATTTTGAATTACTTGAAGTGGTTCCAAGTGATTGGGGGGATTATATTTTATTAAAATTAGAATAATTTTAATCGTCCATAATTCAGTGTTATTAGTCACAGAACTAAACAATTTATGAGATTTCCTGTACTTAGTACATCTAGGAAATTTTAAACAAAGTACATAATATAATTTTTATCTATTTAGTTCTGTTAAATTCAAACTAGTGAGGAAACGTCATTTAATTTTTGAAAGATTTCACATTTATTTCATATTTTTGTTTTTTATTTATTTTTATGTGATAAAATCATCGTGTAGTTATACATTTTTAGTTATTCTTAGTTAATCGTGTTTGAAACATTGTTCAATATTGAATATGGACTAATAATATTTAAGAGTTAAGGTGTCGCAAAAATGGCACGGAATAATGACATATTGTTCATGTCTGAATATATCAAAAATGTTTTATACTTTGCAACCGTTAGACCAGGAAAAGTTTTTAAGAGTTCTGCAGAAACTCATTTCTTTTGCATAGATGATGAGTTAGTTTATGAAAATTATTACCTAGACTTCGGGCCGTTGAATCTAGGTTGTGTTTACAAATACTGTAGAATATTAAACGAAAAGCTGGAAAAGTGTTTAAGTAATCAAATTATTGTGCACTATACATCATTTGATTATAAGAAAAGAACAAATGCCGCGTTTCTATTAGGATGTTTTGGCGTTTTATATTTAAGTTTACCGCCAAAAGAAGCTTTGAAACCGTTAATCGTTCCTGGTCACAGTTATCGGTAAGCGTTGCTTACTACTTTTTACTAAGTATCATTTTCATAATATGTGTAGTTTAATTTCATATGTTAATAAAGATCGAAAAGCAATTTTACGAAGTTATCAACCGACTTCAATACAGAAGGAAGTTCTCAATTCGGTTGTATTTTTTTTATCTTTGTTACCTATCCCAGAGTTCCGTCATTTATAAACCGATTTTAAAAATTCTTTTTACATTGATTTCAGTTAAATTTAAAAATTATTTTTTTTTCAATGGGGTATTGGCAGTGGCGGATTTGCCCTAAGGGCCAATAGGCCCGGGCCTAGGCCGGCCACTTATTAGGGGCGGCCAATGGTGACAAAAAATTCACTGATGATGACAAGATGTGTAATGGGCTCTGAGAACGGGGCGGCTAGAACTTACTATATGGGCTGGGCCTTGGGGCAGACAAGACTACAAATCCGCCACTTGGTATTAGAACTTGCTATCCGGATATACAACAGGGAATTCCTAAAATTCAAATAGGAAATTTTGTGTGAGTGACATATTTTAAGTCGGTTTTGTTTTCTTGTTAGTAAAAATGTACTCGTTCACAGACCATTTCAAGACGCAACGCCTTGTGAATCTGCATATACTATATCAATATTAGATTGCTTACAAGCTATAAATAAGGCACGAGATATTGGTTTTTTCAACTTCCAAGATTTTAATTACGAAGAATACGACCGGCTGGACAAATTACAGGGTGGAGACCTTAATTGGATTGTACCTGGTCAGTTTATAACTTGATTTTTATATTAATGAAGTTATAATAAAAAGAAAACATAATATTTCTTCAAAAGAAACAGTTAAAAAGCTAATGGCTATTAAAAAAATATTTAAAAACCGAAATTAAAGTATAAAACCATAAATTAACGTAACATTTCTATGTAACATTAATTAACGGTTGTTTATTTTAAAATTCATGAAAAGAAATACTACGAATATACCTAATTATGACTAAATGTTATTTGCATGTTTCCAGGAAAGTTCCTGGCATTTATAGGCCCTGTGGAAAACAGAAGCATGGTATATCATCGGCCTGAAGACTACATTAACTATTTTAAAGAAAATAATGTTCAAAGTGTTGTCAGGTTAAACAAAAGATTATACGATGGTAATGTGTGAGTATAATGTGTACACTTTTTTTATGTGAGACGGTGGCAAGTGAACTGGCGGTTCACCTGATGTTAGACACACGAGTCGTCTACAGCTGCCTAGCAGTCGAGGAGATCAAGGGGCGCACCGTCCCCCCGGGAAATGTGGCCTATATTGGCTCGAACAGGATAGCGATTATGGGGTTACGTCATCCTATATGATGGTCGAAAGCACTCTTAATACAAACATGGGCAAATCGTTTTATATTTTTTACATTCGAAACTACATAATTATGTCAACCATATGGTGTATGGTAAACAAATATGACGGTTATGCGTGCCTGTATTAATTGCTGCATTGCTTATACTAACCAAAGTTACGGCGGGTCGGTATTCGATGTTCTGCCCTCGGAGGACTAACAGGGATTTTGATCCAGTAACCCGCATGAACGCGGTCGTCTTACCGACGTTTAAGGCAATCCGCCATCTTTCCAAACTATGGAAGCCGTTTTATTCTTTGCGAATGTTAAGATGGGGCCAGATACGTCGTTCGTCGTTATAATATGTTTTCAAAAAGTTTATTCACGTGCGACAAAAGAGTAATAGGCCTATAGCAGGCCGGTTGTCGTCCATCTTTACCTGGTTTCGGTAATACAAAGATCTTCCCGGTTTTCCATATGTTCGGAAAGTGCCCCGCGCAAAGTATGTTGTTATATAAACGGGTGGAGCAACAAGTGTTCGTTTAGGTAGTTGTCGCCGTTAATCAGACGCCGCCCGAAGATGCAACGTCACTATGTCTAGACGGCATAGTGCGGTCAGAGGCTTCAATCGAGGCGCCACGTAGCCGAGTCGCGTCGACATACGCTGAACGAAGCATTCCCCGCCGCAAGCCTCCCGCATGTGTCCCCAAAATACTCATACATACGTACGGCTCAGCGCATTCAACGGCGAATGCGAGGTCCCAGATTCACGGCCTACTCGCGATATGCTCTTGTGCCTGGTCAGAAGCCATACAGTTCTGTAATGGAAAGCCCTCGACAGTCCATATAGGCTTGTAAGTGGGCCAAAATTAACCGTTCGACTACCAATCGGCGATATGAAGCTGGGACAGTGCGGCTTTCGAGGGTTTGAGTGGCCCAATGACTTTTGCTTTTTTTCCATTTGGACGAGAAAAAGCCTTCAGGCGTTGCCGCGTTGTAGATAATTATTGTGTCCGAATGATACTAGCAGGAAGGAGCTTGGTATCCTTATTGGTGACTCCATCTGCCCCTTTTTTTTCTTCTTTGATGATCAGTGTTTCAGAAACCGGGCGTAAGTGATAATCCTTACCGCACGAAAATCTTAACGTCTTATCTACTCTGTATTTATTGCATTTTTAGCATTGCTACGCGCCATTCTTCCTTTATAGTAAAGATCCTTTCTCAAAAAACGTGATAAATCAGCACTTAAAAAATTGCAATTAGCGATTTCATCTCATCATTCTCGCTAATTAATTATAATTAATAAATAATACTCGGGGTTACTCGAGTTTATTGAATTAAAAGCGAGCACCCGGACACACACTATCACTGCTTTTACTATTTAATTATAAAATTAAATTTATCCCTTGATATATTCCTGACAGATTCAATAATGCGAACATAGCGCACTATGACTTATTTTTTCCCGATGGATCATGCCCACCAAGGAACATACTCCTTAAATTTCTTCAAATCAGCGAAACCTCAGACGGCGCTATTGCCGTCCACTGCAAGGTTATGATTTATATATTATTTATTATATACGTTCAAATGAACGAGTATACATTTATTCTATCAGATTAAAGTATTTTCATTTATGTCATCACGTATGATTGTTTGTATTCATGGACAATTTGTTTAGGCAGGTTTAGGGCGCACTGGTTCTTTAATCGGTTGTTACCTAATCAAACACTATCGCATGACATCCCATGAGGCCATAGGGTGGATGAGAATCTGTAGGCCGGGCTCCGTAATTGGTCAGCAGCAGGTAAGAATTAAAACGTTTTATACACTGCAAGGGTAACTGTAATAGCGCCACGCGGGAGTAGGAGTGAGCTATACTGGGTTTAATCTAGTACCTGTTACGCCTTTTCCTGTTCCTTAAAAAGTAACAGTGAAAAATACCTGTCACAAAATAATAGCCTGTTATTTCGTACTATGTTGTGACAATTTCTGTAACTGTTACAATATTTTACTCTATGGTAACGTCCGTACTTCTCTTTCTAACAAAGCTATAAGACCCATGCGAGAAAAAGAAAGAGCTTGTAGCCGTGACAGTGTTCAGTGACAACTGTGACAAGGTGTAACAGTTTTTATTTATCTCTTCTAAGCTAACAGTCGTAAACATGAATAAAGAAATACTTGTGACAGCATGTTAAGGAGCAATTTGTTTAAAACAGGTGCATTATTTAAGTTTGTTAGTAACAGGTACAGTCTGTTCTCTCGAGATCACTACCTTTTACGATAAATACGCCTCACTCCTACGCAGCAGTTTATGCTAACGCTTGCACAGACATGCTCGCCAGTAGAGGTACCACATGTTCTTATAAGACCTACGTATTTTTGCTTTTATTCTGTAAGAAAGGTAGCCGAGATCCACTACATTTTCGTTTCGACCCACATGTTACACCGTTTATAACATCGGTAGATTCGAGTTTCTATAAATCGCGCATTTCTCATTATTGATTCTCATACTTTCTTTGCTAGAATGTTTTATTCTCAATCCACATTACAGTGTTGTTCTCCACTTTAATTTATAGGTGTGAAAGTACTTAAAGTATAGTTTGTATAGCGAAAAAATAGGACAAAACAAAGTGCTGTGGAAATGTGGTCCTTAAGTGGTGTTGTGATTGATTAAGTTTCATAGGTATGAAAACCTTTGAATGATAGTATCCGAAACTGTGAAATAGTGTTATAAGAAAAATTGCAAAAGAAATGTTTAGGCGTTTCGACAAAAAAAAGAATATGTGAGAGTGGAAAAGTCTGTTAATTAATGTTTATGTAACAGGAATGGTTGGAGCAACTTGAACCATGGCTAATCAAACAAGGGAATCTATATAGGTAATTTTTGGTCTAAAACAATTTTGTCTAGTACCTACCTTATAAATTTTATTAACTGTTCATAGGCATAACATTTTAAAATCGTGCTTCGTGGAGATATAATAACATAACCAAAGTTTATAACAGGAGACGGAAATTTGGTGATGTGGACAAGTTGCCAGTCCACGAGTATGGCTTATATTCCATAAATGAAAAAACTCGTAGACAACGGCCGGTTCTATTTAGTAAGTCGCCCTCACCTCCGCCGCCGATTCGAAGGCACTACCGCGCCGATTGTTTGTCACAACCAAGACCTCAGGCCTCCAAAATGCGGGGAGGAGGTAAAACTGTTCACTTTATTTTTAATCTTCAGTGACTGTAATGAAAAGATGATGCTCTGTTCAAGCGTAACGCACTGTCAAATTTTATGCAATTAAACAGTGTTATTTTGTTTGTAGTATTATGTTTCCGGTGGAACTTTTATGTATTTATTTATTTTTTCTTTTATCATTCAGAAAATAACCAAAACGAAAATGAGGAGAGATTCCTTGCGTCTTGTGATTTAACCGATACAACCTCTGTGTCTGTGTGTCACATGAAGGGATGTATTATAAAAAATAGCACTGTTTTAGACCATGATCGTCAATCGGGAAACTTAAACGGGCCACAATGGAGACTGCTTATGTTTTGTTGTTGGTGTCCTAACATTTGTAAGGACATGATTTGGAAATTGTCAGTGCGTTGCGTAAAATACACACCGGAATGTTGTAACAGTGCAAATGTATGGTGCAATCTTTTAGATAAGGTTGGTAAGAAAAATATAGCCTTAGAAAAAAGTTTAACAATTTGACACTTCATTTACGAAAGCGTTTTTTGTGACAGCTTCTATCTCTTCTAACGACAACGAAGAGTGCAACTGGCGACTAAAACCAACTAGCAGAGCCCCTTGTCAACGGAACTCATCAGAGTACGTTAGATTTATTAAAAACACATTTTAGCAACCATTAGCAACTGTGGATTTCGACGAGGGCCTCTTATCGCGCCAAGCCGCTAGAGTCGCTGCGATCGCAAGATATCCGGTGTGACTTCCCCGGACAACATAGGACTTCCCCGCAAACTGCCACGAAGCTCGATGATGAGCCACCTGCATCCATCGACTTCCCGCACATTTGTTCACTCCATCTAGTAGAGGGGTTATCCTATAGTAGTGATGGCTGGTAGGAGGCCACTAGAGAACTTTTATCGGTTGTCTCTATTCTACTGCGGATATCTTCGTTGGGAACTCTATTATAATAGAAGAAATACCGGACATGGCCCGTTCCAGAGCATACTGAGCGACTTTGAGCTTTCTCATACGGCCAGCAGTGAAAGTTTCCAATTGTTTGACGACTTTAGTCTTCAATTTTTCCGAACGCTGCCCTTCCGAGTTAGATTCGCCGATTGACCTATGTGTCGATAAAAACTTATGGTAAAAGTTCAATGTTCCAAAATAATAATTATGTTAATTATGTATCAGTAAAACGTATTGAACACTAACGTTTTTTAAAGTTATTTTCAATTTCTATGAAATTTGTTAGGGATCGTAGCGAATGTAAATCTCGGCGCAGTAGCGGTTCGGGGGATCCCAGACAAGTTCGTTGGCCTTCACACGACTATGCGTTTTCTCCAACATGCAAAGGGAATTATTCAAATTTCGATGTAAGATTTGTTTTTAGTTTTGCTGTAATTTGTAATAAACGAAAAATTCAATAAAAGGTAATTTTTATTTTTTATTTTATTCTGTTCTTTATTGTATCTAAGTTGCATTTCAGGAGTATTTTAAGATATCTAGTGGATATGCTACTATACCTACATTCTGTACTACTCAAGGTCCAATAGTAAGAACTATTAACGAAGCAAAGGTCAGTATTTAAATGTCCTATATTATTTTCATGGTTTTGTTAGAGACATCCTAAATGACGATGGTTCTACTGTATCATGCAGTGCAGATTTCACAAAGCTGATATCGCAAGGAAAGTTATTATTTTCATCCCTTGAACCAATCTGGTTAACTTATGTAGCTCGGTATTGCTTTATATAGTTACAAATGTCATATAATTATGAGAGATTCAAGGGATAAGAATTTTTATGCTGAACGAAGTGGAAGTATGATTAATTAAATTTTAATTAATAGAAACCCCTCCTTTTTTAATTTTCCGTTCCTATAAAAAATTATTATGACAGATCTAGACTATGATACTTGACATATTCAGCTTTTGTTAGCGCTTTATACAAAATTATTAGTTAACATAAAACGTCCTCAATAGAGAAAATAAAAAACGTCCTTTTGGTTCAATCTTAATATTTGCATTGAATACCCAAAATTTGGCTGCATCTTAAAATAGATATTTTGCTAACGTGTTCTTAATAAATGTAAATGGAAACTTATTTGTTTAATATTACCGAAACATTCAAATAAATGTATATAAATACGGCAAAATTATCAGAATCTAGGTTTCAAATGCAGCTCAAAATTATCAACCGAATATAGTTAGTAAATATCGCCTGCATAACGTTAACTATTGAATCGGCTGAGAAAGGAGACGAAACAACACTGGATCAAATGTGGGCCCAGACCGAAAATAATAACACAGTGACTGCATGCATCACTATGTAGTTCATTGTTGCTTCTGAGCACGGCGTGACCAACACCCCATACAAAAGATCCCTGGCGTTTCGACGCGATTTTAATTGCTAGATCACTACCATCCAAAGTTTGACGACGGTCAACTGCCGTTCTTATATAGTAGTTGACGACCCTCATGACATTTATTTTTATATTACTAAAAACTTAAAAACATTTAATCACCTAAATATTTGGTGTAATTAACTTGCATTGAAATGTTTTTAGGAGTTTTTAATGAGATCTAGCGCTTATAAAGATAATCACGAAAGACAACTTAACTCCACCTTTTTGACTTCTAAATCGACGAATAAAAAGCAAAATCTACACCATGAATACGTAGGGTATGGCACTGCTTCATCCAATATATCCTCAAATTTTACAGGTACCATTATACGTATTATTATTGCATTTTATAGTTGCTGAACTGTTACCTCGTAACAGAAATGGTATATTTTTAGAATTAGCTCTTGTATTTATCTCTAGTCTCTGCACATGAGATGTGCTGCGGTATTAGTGTCTGTATGGGAACGTTACCCGGAAGACGTAGGTTCGAATCCTGTGCCGAAAGATTTTGTACATTTATCTACAAAAATCTAAACCCGAACACGCGATATAGATGCCTGTTTGCTATTCTAGTCAATAATCCAGCTAATTATATTTTAGTTGGAAGAGAGCAACAGCATTACCGTCGTAGACTTGGTCGCAGTCCCAGTCCTATCCCACTACGTAGTCGACCACTTGCAGAACATTCACGTGCCACAAATACGCCCACGCCTAATGAGAGACTGCCTAGAAAAGACTCGTCGAAATCGACCATCCGTGATGCTTTATCTAGAATGAAACGTAAGATTTTTATAAATTTCTACTGAATCTTCGTTACTTTTCTGTAAATAAATTTTTCCCTTTAACCCAGAAAGAAAAATATATAATGTTATCGCATATGTATATTTGTAAATAGCTATAACTCTTTTTGTTCAACTCTATTTTTTACGCTACATGAATTTTCTTCTTCACATTTTTCTGTTAAAGCTTTTTTAAAACATAGTTTATATAATGTAATATCAATATTAAAAAGTATTTTCAGTGGGATATAAGTTGACAAAATACAACTACCAAACATTTAAACATATACACATTTAAATATAATTAATAATCGTCTGCGGAGGTCGGATATGCTGATCGTGGTACTGACAGGTCTGACAGATTAATTATACTAGCTTAAAAAAAAAAGAAATGTCAAAACTGTGTCGTCTAACATAACCTCGCTATGATTTGAAAAACATATTTATTTGTTACTTCTATTTGTTGCGTTTAAGTAAAATAGTTAAAAAAATAGTACTAACGCCACCTGAGATGGGTGCTTTAGTCACTAGGGCTTTAAGACCACTGAAGTCTTTTAATATAGAAAATAGAGCCCATAGAGTGATATCAAAAGAGAAGCCCACTCCTGCGCCGAAGTACGAATCTACGTTTCAAGATTTAAAGCGGACACAAGAGTTAATTCCCGACTTAGATGAAAAACTTAGTAAAAAGGATCCAGCGCTTGACGATAGATTAAAAAATGTTTATGTAACATCTCATGGTCGCCCTGAGGGCGATATTACGAGGGAAAAAATAAAAGAAAATCCTGACCGACCGCTTCCTCAAGATAGAAGGCAGGTTCAGGACTTCGATTTCGGATTTAAGGAACCCGAGAGAGTCCCATATGGGCGTACGACGTTACGCCATGCTTTAGAATATATTGGCTCGTACCAAATGAACCCAACAGAAGTCACAGCTGCCAAAATTGCCCACGAGTACAAACTAAAAGTTGAAGACGTTGAATCCATATTGAAATATTTTAAAACTTATGAAGTATATCTTCCAGAAACAGATAAATCGGCGGCTATGTTTGCTGGGCCATCAACTTTTAGGAAGCAACTGGAACAATCTAATGTAAAGGAGCTGGAAGAGAAGAGCAAAATAGTTGATAATAAAGAGAATAGTTTAAAACAAGGATAACATAAAAAAATCTCGAGCTAACTTCATTAGAAAACAATATATTTGAATATGCCATCAATGAAACATGCTTTCTTGCTTGATCATGGTTTATCATTTCGAGATAATGAGTTTTAACTATTGTTGAATTTGACTTATATATAAAAGATTGATTGTTTAGTGAAGATATGTAGAATTTAATATGTTACATTGTAGTTTAGAAATTTCCGCATCTGTGATCTTAAGGTTAATTCTCTTCTCAGAACTGGATATTACAGAAAATTTACATAATTTTTTTTGTATATATGTTTAATTGTTGCAAGAAAATATATTTATTTGTGTAAAGTCTAAAGGATTGGAAATGAATTTGACACAAATCAAAAGTTGAAATAACATGTGCAGGCTGTTTTCTATATGAATAGCACATTGGCAATTAAATAATTATTTTTTATGGTGTCCATAAAAATGCAGTTACCATATAATATATTTGTTTGACATAGGAGAGGGAATAAATGTTTAGTTTCAAAAAATCTTGAAATCTTTTATTTACGTTCATCATTTATGTTTTGTAATACATATGATATATGCCTATATTATGTATGTTTATTATTGACTAAAAAGCAAAAACAGAGTAGGTGAGCAGTCTTTATAAATTTGGACACTAGAAAAACACATGTTCATCATACAATATATTTTTCCAGTTGTGCAGATTTAACCCACATCCTTTGTCGCAAGAGACAGTTCCACTATCCATTACTAATTACTATTATAATCGTCAAATTTTACATAAAAATTATTGAATTATACAGGGAGATTTTTTGAGAAGTGCATTATGAGAAGGGATGAAAGTCACGTGACTAGAAGACTGATGTATACGAATGTGGTTGGAGAGTGTAAAGCTAGAGAAAAACCGAGATAGAAAATTGAGGGCTGAAAGAGGTGCCTACACTCATACACAGGAGGTTCAGACTCGGTAGCATAATCGTTTATTGAAATAAAAACCAAAGTTTTTTTTTCAAAAAAAAATGCCATTCTATTCCCTAAAAAACAGAACGTGTTGACAATGCGGTATTCATTCATAAATACCTAAATTTTACTGCGCACGAACTCGTGTGCGTGTTAGTTATGAATGATCGCGCGTAAAATAGATGAGTTGCATATAAATCACGCACTTTTTGAGATAAGTTTAAATGAATGTACTTAATTAATTACCTGAATTAGTGATTTTAAATATTTATCATTTTTATATAACATTATTTATGTCTAAAATTTAATAAAAAAAATGGATACACTTAGAAAAGCCACCCTGTATAGGTTTGTAAGGTACCATAATACATATCGATAGAACAAGACATTATACGTTGATTATTCAAATTTTGGCGGGAACAGTTGCAGGGCCGCGGTACGGTTCTCAAGGGACGGGTTCCGTCGGTGCCGCGTCTCTAGGCGCCAGAAGGGCCGCTCCCGCACCGAAGCTGGCCCCGAGCGTGCGCTCGGACGAGCGGCCCACCGCCACACAGGGCGACATGCTCAACAGCATCAAGGTACATGTTTCAAACCGACGCGCCCAATATGGGGATTGTTTTTTTTTATGTGAGAAGGTGGCAATCGAGCTGGCGGTTCACCTGATTTTAAGTGATAACCGCCGCCCATTGACATTTGCAACACCCATGAGGTATCAGATGCATTGCCAACTTTTAATAAAGTGGATTGAGAATGAGAATTTATAAAACCTGCAAAGTATCAATCTTTTATTAAAGTATCGATTAATAAAATTTGTATAAAAAAATGAGCCGCCGAGGGAGTGGAACCCATGTCGTCCAGATTCGTGTTGAAATCTGGGTAGAGAATTTGAAACACGAAATGAAAGATCTATAAATCGCTTTTTTCATTATAAGTTATTTTAGGTCGTAAACGCTAGTTACAGCGCGCGAGTGAGTAAATTATAAGTAATTACCGCTGCCTATAGATATTTGTAACACCAGATTATCAGAATTATAACGTTTAAAACGTTTCTAAATGCCGAGATGTATTCTACGAAATGTATTAATGATATTCTGTTCAAAACAGTACCAACATACCCTCTAAAAATTTTAGCCGTTGAATTTTTTATATTCTCATTTTTGTCATGATGTTTTTATTGTCGATTTCAGCTTCATAGAAGATTCCGCGAAACGCTAACTAAAGACAAAGGAAACTCGACGTGTCGTTCAGGTCAAGACTGGTAAGAATTTTGATAATCATATCACCATACATAAATTGTAAATTGTTCTTATACATTAATTGTAAGTGCCAGTATGCTCAACTTTACAAAACCATTTTTTAATATCTTTTCTTAATTAGTGTTGAAAGTTAAGAACGCTGTTCAAATATTATACCTATGTCCTTTGACAAAAATATAACAGATCATGTATGAGAATTATATTAAAATATTCGATTTAAAATACCATTAAAAGGTATCGCATTGGGAAAATGATTGATGTAGAATAATCCTTATTTTAATTGGGTTTAGTTTAACACAGCCTAATTTAGATTATTTTTCGCTTTATGCCTTTCGATTAAAATATAGTTATTTTTAATAGCCGTGATAGCTCAGTGTCTGGGCGCTCGCCCTTTTATTCAATATACTCGAGCAATCTGAGTTCAATCCCCGTACCAGCACCAATGAAATTGTTAATTTTAGTTGCTGACTTTATCACGTGCTATCTAGATGGTATATATCACAACGGTGAAGGAAAATATCTTGAGGAAACCTGTATATTTTCGAAAAAATAACAAAAAAAAAATATTTCGAAGATAAGTCCACATAAGTTCGCCAATCCGCAGTAGCGCCGCGTGGTGAACTATACCCTGATACCCTCTGTAAAAGAGGAGGCCTTTGCCCAGCTGTGGGATATGTATAATAATATTTTTTTTAATTAATAGAGCAAATTGAGAGATGGATATTTTATGTTTTATAGCAAAATTATTTTTTTTTTTAATTAATCAAAAATTAATGAATAGTAATAAATGTGGAGCAATTACGGATTCTAAAGGAGCATTTCAAGAGCAATTAATTGGCATATCGTTTAATAAAAAAAAAATTCTATGCTAACTTCCTTCCGGTGAAAACTGATATTGTTAACATATTATATAACAGACTCCACGAGAGATCAACTCTTTTTACGTTATCTCGCGTTACATTTATTTTTTATGTCGGGGTTTTTTTAATTATTTTATCCTTTTTCAATTACTTTGTAACCGTTGTTTTCAATGGGTTTTTCAAGTTTTAATTTTGCTTCTTATTTTAACCTTTCTTAAATAAAGCTGTCTCTTTAATTCGTAGCGGCGCAAAAGAGAAAAACACGGATGGGTCTTCTAGAACTTTACAGGCCAGGACAAGCTCTCCGAAGCCGAGGCACTGCTTTCAGACATCGTTGCATTGAGTTGGCAAAAGACAAGTGATAAGTTTCGATATGTTGATGTTCACTGTCAATGTTAAATTGGTGAAATTATTGAACTTTATAAACATAATTTTTCATTTTTTTTATTTACAATACAACTTGTAAACAAACAATTTTTGTATGTACATTAATAATACTTAATATATTTTCAAGGATTTCATTCATCAGAAGTCATATTCTTGCTGTTTATGTCCGTATGCATTCAGCTCAGCTGTTTATTAAACATTAACACATTTTAAGTGTCTTTTATGTAGCTAACCCCGGTACACAGTTCACTCTACGCCTTATAAAAATTGGTCCTGGATAATTTTTGCACATCTGGCAACATGTGCCTAATGTACGTCGCCTCGAATTTCCGTTTTTCGTTACGAGTTTTCGACCTCGTAGACGTCTCGACTTCGTAGGTGACGCTACGACCTCGTAGGTGACATCTCGACTTCGTAGGTGACGTAACGACCTCGAAGGTGACATCTCGACTTCGTAGGTGACGTTACGACCTCGTAGGTGACGTCAAGACCTCATAGGTGACGTTACGACCTCGTAGGTAACGTCACGACCTCATAGGTGACGTCACGACCTAGTGGGTGACGTCACCAACGATGTCTAGGCCAGTCCAGGGTCCGTGGGGGGTGCCATGCAGTTGCCGTCCGGGTAGCGTTTCTTGAAGGCCGCTATCAAATCGGGATCGACCAGCCTCACGCCGTCCACTTGGTTGCCGAGGGTTATCCTGCGCGTTGGAATTAAGAAGAAAGAAAATGAATTTCTTTATAAAAACAAAAGACTCGAATAATATAAAATTAAAAGTGAATTTAATAAATGAATAAATGTTTCAGGATGACTCCGTGGCGCAGTTGCCAAGGTATTGGCTTCGGCGTCGAGGGTCGTGGGTTCGATTCCCACACGGGACAACTATTTATGTGACCCACAGATAGTTGTTTCGAATAGCGGTGTTCGTCCGTGTGAAAATTATGTTTGTACAGACTTATCCTTACAACACAGGATAATGTTATCCTAAAGTAAGGGCATGTTTACAAAAAGGATATTTTTCACAGATACTAAAAACTATGTTCATCATACAGTATTTTTTCAGTAGTGGGGATCGAACCTTTTGTCGGTAGAGACAGATCCTCTATTCACTATGCCAATCGGGTCGTCAAATTACTTGAAGTGACACTCCTTAAGTTGCGATTCGATAATTGTACGAGAATTAGAAGCAAATTTTAAGGACGCATCACGTTTAGGCACATTTACTTTACAAGAGAGAGAAGAGAGATTTAACGTAAAAACAGAGCGACATCTATACATACACATAAATAAAATTGGAGTGTCTGTTTGTAATATTAAAATAACTTAACCTATTAACTAATAACCTATTCCCATAAAAAAACAAAAAAAAACAAAACCGCTTTTACTTAATGAATATGGATGTATACTGTATACACGGTACATATACGAAAATGACATTTTTTACAATTTTTGTCTGTCTGTCTGTTTGTTTGTTAAGGCTAATCTCTGAAACGGCTGGACCACTTTGGACCGGACTTTGACTGACAGATAGCTGATGTAATAAGGAGTAACTTAAGCTACTTTTATTTTATTTTATATTCGACGCGGACGAATTCGCGGGCACCACTAGTATATCATAAAAATACAAAAAGATAAGAAAGTGGTCAGTTATGCGCGCGTTGTAGATGTAGATGCGTCATATATCGACAATCAAGTCATTAATCCGAACTAATTTATAGTATACTAATACACATAATTTACTATAAAACTAAATTGAAATTACAAATTGTTCTTTACCTCGAGTTTATAATAGTCTTGATATATTATTTATAAAAAAAACATTTAATTTTGTAGATAGACCTTAAAGAATAAATAAATTACAATTAAATTTTTATTCTAAAAAAAAAAACAAACAAACGACCTCACCAGTTCGGTTGAACATTGTGCGGACGTCCGAATAGCTCTATCTTCCTGGTGCCTGGACTCAGCCTTTCTGCAAATAGGGATAAAATAAATAAATAAAAAAATTTAGGATATCATATAAGAGAAAAAGGGCGTATTAGCTCAGTGTGCGGGCGCTCGCTGTTAATTTTTGACTACCCGATTTGCGCAGTGGATAGTGAATGTCTCTTGCGCTAGAGGGTGTCGCTTCGATTCTCGCTATTTTAAAAAAATTGAGCGATGAACAATGTTTTTCTATTGCTTAACTATGATATATATAATATGTAAATCCATTAAAACAGAAAACTATGTCGGCTGCGTAAAGCGGAGTCTGCAGGTTAAAATCTTTGCAGAGGCTAAAGTGTTTTCGGCTACTTTTAAACAAACGTTAAAATATGAAAAGTGCAGGGAATAGAACTATAAAAGTTAACGTCATTTAAACTACTTAGAATGTTTTTTATATACAGCGTTTCGTTACCATCGCGACAATAAATGAACACACGTCTAACGCTACTTGCCAATAATCATAAAAAAATATTAACGTTAAACAAAATCTATAATTAAAAAAAAAATATTTTTCAAACAAACTAATTAAGTAAAAAAGAAACAAAATTTGTAACATCCTATACAACTCGCGCCACCGCGTCGCATTACAAGCCTCTCCTTCTAACAGTATGTTTTGTCTCTTTTAAATTCATTCAACCCATTCATATGCTTTGTGACCTTTACAAATGAACTTTACGTTACGCTTTTATAGGTAAGGGTGTTCTAAAATTCTTTGTTTTGGAAAATTTAATAACTCTGTAAATATTGATGTTTAAAGAATTTAAATGTTTAATACAACTTTAAAAAGTTATCCCCTATATGTGTGTTCATTTATTGTCGCGATGGTTAGGACACGCTGCATATAAAATATATATAAAAAGACCGCAGAATTTCTTGCCGGTACTTCTGGACAGGTATGACATACAGCGAGCTTATATTGAATAAAGAAATTATGACATTGACTTTAAAGCTACATACGTCTTTGAAGCAGTGGGTCATATATACCTTACTACTCTTAACTCACCGATAATGCCGTATATCTCGTCGGGCTTGTGTGAGGTGGCTCTCACCTCAGCCACGATCACGTCGCAGTCCAGGCCGCGGTTCAAGTTCTCCGGGTTGCCCTTCATGCCGACCTGAACATAAAAAGCGTTAATATCTTTCGCCTATTGCCATATGTGTTCAATAAAGGGAATATTATACGAATATAGTTTTAGGTTTAGCGGTCGCGATTCCGGCTCAAGAACCGAGTTGCCGGTTCGAATTTCAGAGGCGCCAATTATCTTGTGCAGCATAATCCCAGCTTATGGAATTCATTATTATTACGTGAGGTCCATTCGTTTGCCTTCAGGACCACAATGTTGAATTTGCAAAATGTTGAATTTCTAAAATGTTGAATTCGCAAAATGTTGATTCCCAAAATGTTGAAGTCGTAAAAAGTTGAATTTACTGGTCCCATAATGTTGAATTCCTAAAATGTTGAGTTCGCTAAAAGTTGAACTTGCAATATGTTGAATCCCAAAACGTTGAATGCAAAAAAGTTGTATCCCAACAATGCAAACAACTATATCAGAGTATAATCTGAATTGATTCAAAAATAAATTGAAATGTATTTTTATCTGTGATTTTGACGACCCGAATGTCGTAGTGGGTAGTGTACCTGCCTCCTGCGCCAGAGGGTGTGGGCTCGATCCCCACTACTGGAAAAATATTGTGTGATGAACATGGTGTTTTTCTAGTGTCTGGGTGTTTCTATATGTATAATATGTATTTATTTACAAAAGAAAAGTATGTTTATCAGTTTTCTAGTACCCATAGTACAAGCTTTGCTTAGTTTGGGACTAGAAAATGTTGTGTACAAATGTGTCCTAAATATTTATTTAACAAAGAATTTATATTTATTAACAAAGAATTTATTTTTATAGATATTGTTATATAAATTATTATTATGGGCATATTTATTTGTTTCCTCGTCTGGTAGGGGTTATAAATAAAAATAAACATACAGATATAAATATTGTATATTAAACTGGTGGACGATGCGGGTGGTATCGAGGAGAACCGCCTTCTGCATTTGAGCTTGGAGCGTTCCATCCCGGAGTCTCAGTCGCCTCAGATGTTCATAGAGGCTGACTGGGATCAACCCATCCGCAGATACGACTATCGGGATAATTTCGGTCGGCACACCACCCCACATGTCGGTCACCTCGTGAGCCAGGTCCAGATACTTTGTCTTCTTATCTGTTTCGGCTTTCACGAGGTTCTCGCCATATGGAATGGTAATGTCGACCAAAAATACCCGCGACTGTGCCCGGTCCATCACCACGATGTTAGGTTTGTTCGCGACAATCGTCCTGTCCGTGATGATGGGCCGGTCCCAATAGAGACTGGCGCGGTCATTTTCGAGCACGGCCTCCGGAGAGTACTTATAGTACGGCAGTTTCCGATCCACGAGACCGTATTTCAGAGCGAGCTCCTGGTGTAGGATTCTGACTACTAGGTTGTGTCTATGCAAATACTCAGAGTTAGAAAGCATGGAACAACTGGAGATTACATGCCGAAGTGACTCCCCGGGATGGCGACAAGCTCGACAGATGTCGACGGTGCCATCCCTTAGGATGTATTTCCGATAGTTGTTCGTCTTAATAACCTGATCCTGTATCGCACAGACAAAACCTTCGGTTTCCCCAAAGCGGTCACCGAAAGGTAGCCAGTTAAGGGAGGCAACAATATCTACGAAAGGTTCGTGCAGAGCCTTGTACAACCTCACGTGGAGCTCTTTCCCTTCCATATAAGAAAATAAATCATACCATATAGTAATTCATTCCATATAATAAGATGAAGCTTCTTTAAGTCTAAGGACTGAAAGAGTAACATCAGTTATACAAAAAAAAATGTCACACAATTTTTTTTTTGTTCGATGTTACTTGGTTTTCGACTTTTCTTTTTCGATTTCCTTTTGTTTTGCACTATTTCGATATGACCTTGATAGTACCAAACAACACGGAACAATAATACCATACACCCAGCAATTCATCAGTTAGGATTCAACATTTCGCAATTTCAACTTTTTGCGAATTCAACATTTTAGGAATTCAACATTGTGATCCGGGTGGGAAATTCAACTTTTTATGACTTCAACATTTTGGGAATCAACATTTTGAGAATTCAACATTTTGCAAATTCAACATTGTGGTCCTGAAGGTTCGTTTGGAGTCGGTCAAAAATTTGTCGATTGCATTACTTTAGGAGCCGTGATAGCTCAGTTACCAGTGCGTTCGGTTTTAATTCAATATACTCGAGCAAACTGAGTTCAAATCCCGGTACCCGCATCAATGAAACTGTCAATTATAAGGAAAATTATCGTGAACAAACTTATATAATCAACATCATCAACCTTCTGCCTTTATCCCTCCTAGGTGGGGTTGGGCAAAACATGTGATACATGTTGTAAGCGGTTTAGGCTATGTATTTTATGCCACCTGCCTGAAGTCAACCCTCCTTGGGAACAAACACTCAGATCAGGGACAGTTATTTGTGCGTCACACAAATACTTGTCCCGTGTGGGAATCGAACCCGCGATTCTCGACGCGGAAGCCAGTAGTTAACAACGGCGCCAATCCCCACTCGAATATTTTTGATTCTGTTTTTAGTATGTGTTCTTATAGCGGCAACAGAAATACGTCATCTGTGAACATTTCAACTGTCTAGTTATCACGGTTAATGAGAAGACAGACGGACAGACAGACAGACAGCCGACGATGTTTAATCAAAGTAAAACCTAATAAAAAGGCTAAAATGATGATGTATACTGGCTCACCAGACAGTGTTCTTTGCCGTGGTTGAGCCAGTGTCCGGTGCGGCCGGTGCGAATGATCCGCTGCAGCTGGTTGGTCTTCACCCATATCAGCTCGTCCACCCGCTCGTAGCCCCACAGCTTAAGGCACTCGCGCCCCAACTCCATTGCCCTGCGACACCGAACCATATAAAACTCAGATGTAGCACGTATCGTCGAGTGCAAAAGTAGTTTTATTCAAGTAGTTAGTTTAAATAACCGATAAGCAATGATGCTCGCGACTGTACTTAAACTTACAAGCAGCGGATCACAAAGCGATCACCGCCGTTTGTTAAACTCAGATGTAGCATGTATCGTCGAGCGCAAAAGTGACAAAAAAAGATTATCATGTAAAATAATTTATTCAAATAATCAAATAACGATATTACTCAAGACTGTACACCGACTTTAATGTAGTAGCTGGAAATAAAGCATTTGGATTGCGGCGCGAAAACACACCGCTACGCATTTATGTATCTTTTATGAGATAAATCGTATATTACCCGTGCAATGCAGTTAACCGTTACCGTGGATATTTGCAACACCTGTTAAGTTGTAGATTGCCACCTTTGCCTAAAGTGACCTTGAACGTTGCCACCGATAATTGCGAGAGTTTAGTAAACCGAAACAAGCCTATCGACCTTGAAAGTTGTTAATATTGTATCATAATAACTGCCAACGCCATCTATTACGTTTTTTTTTTAATTCAAAAACTGGCTAGGACTCGACTGCAATCCCGCCTGATGGTAAGTGGCGATGCAGCCGTTGATGGTAAGCGCGCTAACTCAGTAGAAATCTATTCACTCTTGCCTTGAAGACGCCAACGTTGTATTCGGACGGAAAGACGGACGCCGGCAGACTATTCCATTCCTTAGCTGTACGGATGATAAATGAAGAAGCGAATCGCTTTGTTCTAGTACGTGGGACGTCGACAGCATAAGGGTGGAGCCCCGCCGAACGCCCGGTTGTCCGATGATGGAAAGGGGCGGGCGGAATAAGATCATTTAACTCCAACGCACACTCTCCAAAATGTATCCTGTAGAAAACCGAGAGGCTGGCGACTCTGCGCCTGTGATCAAGGCTAGTGAGATTGGTTTTAACCAAGTTATGGTCACCAATTACCTTTCCGCACGCCTCTCCATTGAGTCCAAGGCAGCCAGATGGCATTTTGCAGCCCCAGCCCAGATATGGCAACAGTACTCCACACACGATTGGACTTGACCCTTGTATAGAGCAAGAAGCTGTCCTGGCGTGAAGTTTTTAAATTAACCACTATACTGAACACATGACTAGACACAAGTCCATTTTTTTACTAACGAAAAACACACCCGACTTCAAATATCTCGTTATATATTCATTTTATAATTGATTTTCAGGAGTTCCCTAAGAATCTCCGGTCTCCGGAGCCCAAGATCCAATACCAACGAAATTAATATGGGACCGCATGGGAAGCACAACCTTTCAAATAAAAGAAATAACCATCAAAATCGATTCATTCAGTCGAGAGTACTGAGGTAACAAACATAAAAAAAAACGAATTGAGAACCTCCTCCTTTTTCGAAGTCGGCTGAAAATAAAGTTTTTTTTCTCATTCTCTCTCTCTCTCACTAACCGCGTTTGATTTATAAATGTTGGCACCACCAGCAGTGGCAAATGCTTTGAACCCCCTCCCGTGAACTCCAAAGAGACTATCGACCTTGAAAGTTGGCACCACCAGCAGTTGCAAATGCTTTGGACCCATCCGTGAACCCCAAAGAGCCTAACGACCTTGAAAGTTGATACCGCCAGCAGTTGCAAATGCTTCGGACCCCGACATTTGAACGCCAAAGAACCCATCTACTTTGAAAGTTGGCACCACCGACCGTTGCAAATGCTTCCGGCTCCCGATCCCGACATTTGAACCCCAAAGAACCCATCTACCTTGAAAGTTGGCACCACCGACCGTTGCAAATGCCGAAACCAACTGTCAACCCCAAAGAGCCTATCTCCCTTGAAAGTTGGCACCGCCAGCGGTTGCAAACGCCGCCACCCCACCACCCACCTGCCGGTGACCCAGAGGAATATGAGCCCGCTGTCCTGCAGCTGGGGCACGCCGAGGCAGCGCATCTCGTCGTCCGACATCGTCCCGTACGGCAGCTCCATATGGATGTCCCACGGCGGGTCCGCCATTATCACCGCGAACTTGCCTAAGAACGATGATGGGGTCTGTTTGTTCAGAATTGAGACCATTGCGGCCTGCATAAGTCTTTGCCCAGCAGAGGGGCGTGGATAGGCGGATATTTAACTCTCCACCATCCTGACGCTTCTGATTTTGCTACTGGATCATCTTATCCGCGAACCACAGTCTATTTATTTACGGTCATAACCCTAGTTACTAGTGTATAAGTGATTGCCGTGACGTTGATAGGCGGATATTTGAGGTTCCACCATCCGAAAGTTACTGATTTTACTACTGGATGATGTTCCACGAACACCAGCACCAGTCCAGGAAGCCAATAGCTTAGGCGCTGATGTACTATTTGTGTACTATTAGTAATTGTGGGCCGTCCTAGTTTTCGACTTTCCTACTTGTTCTCCTTTTTTTCCCCTTAAGGTCTAATTATTTATCATTGACAACATCGTAGCCTATATAAGTGTGGCAAACACACAGCAGTGGGACATGGAGAGGCGGATATTTAACGTTCCACTTTACTTCGGTAGTGGAGTTATCAAATCCCCGTTAATTACTAACTATTCTAGTACAAGTGAAATATATAATTTGTTTAGACTATTTCTTTAAACCGACTCTAGGATTGATAAAGCTTTTGTTTTATAATACTAGACTAGTTCCCTGGATTAATTTTGAGGGAAACACTTTTTTTACCCAAAAACGTCATATCCAGGTAGCGAAGGTCACATTGTATCCACTGCGGTGGCGTTAGCGTCAGGACCCCGTCAGGTTTGACTACCGCAGGTGTCCCTGCGAATTAACATATTTACAATTATTCCTCATACAAAAGTAATGATATACTGTGATGCCTATGAAATAAAAACGGATTGTCAAAGAGGCCACGAGCATGAGCCGTGATATCCGGTCAATATCCGAGCATTAGCTTTTAATTCTATTTAATTGAGCAACCCGAGTTCAAATCCCGGTGCCAGCACCAATGAATTTCTCGTTCGAATTATCGTTGTAAAACGATATTCGAAATTGTTTGTATACTTTAAAGGATATAACAATGAATGCGCCAAGCATTGCTTCAAATGCTAAGAAACAATGTAGAAAAAGACGTTAAGATTTTCGTCGCTGTGGCTATCAGCCGTTTAGCTCAGTGGCTAGAGCGTCAGGCCGAAAATGCCGAAGACGTGGGTTCGATTCCCACAGCGGCGACAATCTTTTCGTACTTTTTCTACATATTTTAATTTTCTACATATTTTAACCAATGAATTTGTTTAATCAATGTCTAATTATCACGTGCTCAACGATAAAGGAAAACATCGTGAGGAAACAGGCATATTTTCAAAATAATAACAAAAAAAATATGTCGAAGATATGTAAAGACCGCTAAAACTTTACATATATTAGTTATCAGGTTATAGTCCGCCACGCTAGCGTAAGTTGGTGGACTATAACCTAATTCCCTTTGGCTTTTGCCCAGCAGTAGGACTATAGGATTATGCACATTATAGGAATTAACTTATATTTTTTAGTGACGACCGCAGGAGGTTTTAAGCTTTGCGTTTCTTTTTTCCTATAGAGTTTTATTTTTTATTTTTGGTGCCAGTTCCTGCACTTAAGGTGAAACTTAGAATGTTTTGATAAAACTGTTGCAAAATTTACTTATTTGATGATTCTGTGACGCAGTTGCCAACGTATTGGCTTCGGCGTCGGGGTTCGTGGGTTCGATTTCCACACGAGACAACTGTGCAATCCACAGATGATTGTTTCGGATCTGGGCGTTTGTCCACGTGAAATTTATGTATGTGAAACGTCTTTACAATACAAGACAATGTTATTCTACAGTAAGGCGGCAATTTGGGGATCGAATCGTGTCGCCGAAGCCAATAAGCCCTGGCAACTACACTAATAACAGTGGCCGTCATGACTGCCCAACCCCTACCACACAAAATACAAATTTATGTTAATTTCACCATTAAGTCCACCCTTAGCGCTCGCTTCGGTTGCTGTTTTACTCGTAACGTTGGGGTCCGCGTTGTCCACTTCGTAATGCACGTATCTTTAACAACAGATAATAACAACAAATAATTTTTTAAATGCCAGTCCAATAGATAGGTAAACAATTCGTGAAAGCTCAGTGACCAGGCGCTCACTTTTAATCCTTACTAATATTATAAACGCGAATGTTTGTATGTATGGATGGATGTTTGTTACCCTTTCACACAATTTTGTTTTTATGCGAAAAATTGTCAAACGAGCAGACGGTTCACCTGATGTTAAGTGAACCCGCCGCCCATTGACAACTGCCAACGCATCAGTAACCCGAGGGTTACTGATGCGTTGACAACCTTGAAAATTGGGCTCCGGCTACCTCACTCACCAGACGAAACGCGAAAGTATTTGTCATACTTTCACTTTACGCTGGTCTTCTGTGAGATCGTTTTACTTACCCGGACGGGCCTGCCCATTCGTGCAACAGCCGGGGCTGCTGCGTGGCCCTACCACCGTTAAATAGTACTGAATGTATATTAATGTAACGTCGCATGGAGGACGCCCTAATACCCTCTGTACAGAGGCCTTTGCCCAGCAGTGGGACATATATAGGCTGTTACTTTACTTATAATCTGCACCAAATATTCTTTACTCTGGAAATTATATCTGGAATATTATCCTAACTGTCATGCAACATTATCTTAGTCAAGAATATTTTAGTTTAGGATTCATCTATTCTTTCCATATGCTACACAATTGATCTCCAACCCCAATTATCCAAATTCTTACATAGAAATAGTTTATGGAACGGAGAGTGATACGGATAGATTTTTATCCTGGGCAAACGCATGGTTGCCATGGAATAGGTCTCAGTAATTAGGCCTTAAAATCACACGAACTTGCAACTGTCCATATGAAAGCAGGTGTTGAGGAAGGAACAGTCTCCGAGAGATTCGTCTGTGTGACTCTGTATGATCTTCTTGAAGTGCAGCTTCTTGCAACCATAGTCCGAATCGTCTGTCTGTTTTCCGTCCGCCTCCTGAGTTTTCTGGACGCTGAAAGCGCGCACGCATTCGGCCCTTGTGCCGTGCGGACAGAACTCCATAACTTGAGCACCTGATAAGGAATATTGTATTACAATAAGCATCAATGCTCATTAATTCATTTCATTCATTCATTCATTCATTCAATGTGTTACGGCCACTGTCACTGGCAGTTATTCAACGTAACCTGTAAAAACTGTCACAATAATCTGTGTCTTGGTAAAATACGTAACATGCACAAAGCTGTTATTTAGTTAAAGTATCTACAATTAATATCACTAAAGTGATTATTAATTGATTTAGCTATCTTATTGGAATAAAAGATATGAGATTTTTTTTATTATACAGCGTGTCTTTACAATCGCGACAATAAATGAACACCCATATAGGGGATAACTTTTTAAAATTGTATTAAACATTTACATTCTTTAAACATCAATATTTACAGAGTTATAAAATTTTCCAAAACAAAGAATTTTAGAACACCCTTACGTATAAAACTGTAACGTAAAGTTCATTTATAAAGGTCACAAAGCATATGAATGGGTTGAATTAATTTAAAAGAGACAAAACATACTGTTAGAAGGAGAGGCTTGTAATGCGACTTAATTAATTTTTACTTAATTAGTTTGTTTGAAAAATATATATATTTTTTTAATTATGGATTTTGTTTAACGTTAATATTTTTAATGATTATTGGGAAGTAGCGTTAGACGTGTGTCCATTTATTGTCGCGGTTGTAACGACACGCTGTATACACAATTGTTTCACGTCAAGTTTTTAAATATTACTTCACTTTAATATGTTTGGAAGGACTTTAATTGTATTAATTGTAATGAAGTATACTTAATCAAAATGTTGCAACAAGTTTGCAACAAATTTTGTAGTCAAATAATTATGATCTCTCCTCTTCAAACACAAGCAAGACTTATTTTTAACTATAAATAATAAAAAAAACACATATTAAAACAGCAGCCAGCCGCATACCAAAAGAAATATGTGTTTATGAGATGTTTTCAACTTGCTAACTTTTATTATGGAAGAGTTACAAAATTTTCCAAAACAAACAATTTTAGAACACCCCTACGTATAAAACTGTAACGTAAAGTTCAGTTGTAAAGTTCACAAAGCATACGAATGGGTTGAATGAATTTATTGAATGTTATAAATAATATATTATTACCTCCTTGGCTTTTGAATTTGTCAGCCAATGATTTTTCTTTTGCAGTAGGTTTACTCAATAGGTCCATAATCTCTTCACCAACCCTCTTTACAGCCTTCTCTCTGCTTGATGGCATTGCCAACAAAGACTGAAATTATATATGATTCACATAGGATACATATACGAATAGTTAACTGTGTGTCCGACTGTTATCAGGTGTGCACAAATTAGTTCCTTAAAGTAAGGTATTTTTATGAACACCGTTCATAAAATAAAATCCAGCCATGTGCGAGTCGGACTCACGCACTAAGGGTTCCGTACCATTATCTATAAAAACAGCAAAAAATGACTTCTATATGGAAGCCTGACTAAAACATTTTTTTATTCTGTTTTTTTCTGTATTTGTTCTTATAGCGGCTACAGAAATACATTATCTGTGAATATTTCAACTGTCTAATTATCGCGGCTCATGAGGCGACAGACAGATAGACAGCAGAGTCTTAGTACTAATGCCCTGTTTTACCCTTTGGGTAAGGAAACCTAAAAAGACCATGTTTAACACTATTTATAAAATAGTATGAGATTAATGACTAATGTCTGGCTTCTCACAATTTACAAAAAATGTCAATAAAATATAAAATTTTACCATAATATCTGTGTCACCCTTTCCACTTTTCTTGTCATCATTTGTAGTCTTTGTCACTTTCACATTTGTGCTTTCATCCACTGCAGTTTCACCTGAAAAATAAGATATTTAAAAGTATTACCAATATTGTAATTTTTTTTATTTTTGTTTATTTCTTTAACAAGCTACAGTGACTATATATAAAACAGATTATACAGCATACTACTTATTTTGTTAGGTCTTTAATAGGTCCCACATACTTATTGCTGTCTTAATGAATTTCTGGGTATAACAAATATTACACTTTGCATTATAAATAAATTATGTATAGCAAGCAATATCAACCTTTTCTTTTAGTAGGAGCGCTTTGTTCCTCAACTAGAGCTGCCAACACTGCACCCAGTCTCACAGATTCCGCGCCAACTACTTCAATTTCTGTATCAGCAGAACCTTCTAAACGCTCTTTTATCCTGTAATATTTTTTATAATTCGCAAATCAGTTTTCAGTGTTGTAAAATTAATATAATTTAATTGTTTTTTATATATATTGAATATAATGTAATTCATCATTACATATAAATATATATTGAATATAATGTAATTCATCATTTCACAACTTACATTATCAGTTTCTGTGTAGCAAATTTCTGTAATAAACTTGCCACTATGCCAGTATCAACATCACCTAGTCCTGGCATCAGCGCACTTGCAGTAGCCGGGAGTTGGAGTTGCATGTCAGAGAGAACTTGTAGTAGCCGAACTTCTAGTGATGCCACAGGCACTGGTGCCTTTGGCTTTTCTTGGGCGGCTGGGACTGCAAGATTTTAATGAACCAAAATATCATATACCGCATATACGGATTTGTTTTGCTGGTTAAGTTAAACTTTTATTATTTTGAGTTGGTCAATTTCCATACAAAGAAAGATTATAAAAAGCAATTAAAAATTTTGTCTTTCAGATATAATTAGCTAGAGATTAAAAAATACTAAGAGAACAAGACATTAACAAATATTTATACCTTCATTCTTTTGAGAGGCTGGACTAGAAACAGATTTTTCTTTGCTACTTGGGGAACTTTCAGCTTTATCGCTCACTAGAGACGCCCCTAAAATGTTTTGTCGCTCTTTTTTGCGTTTTTCAAGCTTTTCTCTTAAACTATTTCTTTTGCTTTTTACAGCTTGAATTTCTTCCCAAGCATCAGACATTTTTTGCTAGTGAAGTAGACTAGCTATAAAACTTGATATACAGCATAAACATTTAGGTTACGCTTTTATTTATATTTACTAAACTGTTACTAGTATTAACAACAACGGTTATAAAAGTAATTAAGTAATTAACACAACTCACAGACTAACTAGAGATGCTTACGCATCTGTAATAAATTAAAATTTGTAAACTTAACCTACTGAATGACAGTGACAGTTTTAGTTTGTCAAAATATTTTACATCCTCTTCTAAACGCTGACAGTGTTGCCAACAATGCAGGGCGTGATGTCGCCATATTTTCCATCATTACTAGCCTTCTGTAGCACAACTTCAGCTTCTGTACTGTAACCTTAAATAACCCTAACACCAAAATATCGCTATAATAATATACATAAAGCGCGATTTAAATCAACTGGTTATTTTCTACCGAATATAAATGCAACAAAACATTTTTGGTGTCGTTAACCTTACATACCTCCGCGACCTTTTTTAGGATTTTTTAGGATAAAAGGTAAAAAAGGAACCCTTATAAGATCACTCTCTTGTCCGTCTGTTTGTCCGTGTATCGTCAACAATTTTCTCAGGAATGCGTGGACCTAGCAAGTTGAAATTTATACCAGATATTGAGGTCTATATTTTCAGTTAATTAGATATAAAATCAAGGTCCTGAGTCAACACGATAAACAGGAATGGGCAAATTTAAATGTTCGCGAAAACTTGTAAGTACCAAAATTTACCTTAATTTTTAACTTTTTTTTATGTTCCCCCGCTTGGTTGTACTTTAACATTGGTATCGAAGACGCCACCAACTTTTTGTCTCAAAATTTGCCTTAAATACGATTTCCAAGCCGCTCCAAAGTTGTCTAGTTTTTCCGCAAAAAGACGCTTTTTTCCACTAAGAAATTAATAATTCGTTATCTACAGAAGATTCGTAGACCGTTTTGAAATAAGTTTTAAACACGCGTGATCATTTCAAAAGAGGTTCCGGTACTAAGTGCGTGTTCATTTGCTATTCGCTAAAAAACGCATGACATCCTCGTCCTTTTCTATTTCCTCGTCGTCTAGTAGGCTACTTGCTAAGTGAGAACTATAGGTAGAGCTTCGATCGCTTTGCTACCATTGGGCAGATTCATTGAACCTTCTTTTTAGGCGATGCACTCTCGGACCGTCGGTAACCAAGCCAATTTGCTTTCTACCACAACAGCCCTGTGGTTCACTGGTAGTTTGAAGCGACGTCCAGAAGATGTAATAATGAAGGACGTCCTGTAACATATGATCTTTCCGCAGCTTGGAGGTCCGGATAATCGTTCCTTGTAGTGTGCACTACCATCACATCACATATACTGATGGGGAGTAAGGAAAACTGCTTCTATTATGGAGCTGACGACGAAGATGAAGACGGATAGTGAATGAACCTTTTGAATGTAAAAATTAAGTAACGTTCGTGGCTTATCCTATATTTACATATATATTTATAGCCTTTATACGTACAAGTGTTTTTTAGAGAGCACACAGTTCAGATTATGTACAAGAGTGGTGGATTCGTGATCTCGATGTTGTCCGCAAGGCCACAAACGTCTACATGCACTTGCAACCCCGGGTCACACATAAGGTGTGGTGCGTACTGCGTAGTGCGAAGAGGGCCATTGTGTTAACCGGAGTCAGGGTAAAATAAGTTTTCATAAATATAATTATTACATTTCCACATACATTTCAAGTATCTGGACAAATTTTCTTTCATAAATAATTTTATGTAAAGCTTTTTTATCACAAAAAAAATGTTGAAATATAACCTCTAATACCTCAACTATTAGATAGATTACCATTTTCTTTTTTTTAAGAAAAAAGACTGTCGGTAAATTGTCACTTTAATAATTTTTTCAACATTATTTGAAAATTCAATATAATTTTTAATCGGGATTCGGGATACATACGTAATATTGTGAGTTATTCACTATGAGTTATGTGGGAGAAATGAAACTGAGATCGCATGCTTACAGAGTGTGTGCTCTGTATAAAACCGCACTGAGATTAATCGAATCTTATTACGGGCCAAGGTAAGATATATTTTCAAGGTTACTATATAAAATGAAAAACATCGAGTAAAAACGCGCCAAGAAATTATCATGTTGTTTCTTTATTACACAATATATCATTAAATTATTTCAGGCCGGTAATTCGTTATCATCAAGTTCTTTTACGAAAACGATTTGATGATAATAAATGCGTTTCCGACCCAAAAGAACAACGTAGACTCTTATGGATTGGGGAACATGAAGCCTTTATGAAGCAAAATCCAGTTTTTCTTGGCAGATGTGAGTTTGTTTGAAGGCACTCACGCGTAAAACACAATTTTATGATTTTTCAAAAACAATAATCAAATACTGCGCAAAACGAGACATAACTTCTCTTGATTATTAACAATCATTTTTCTTTAGTTCCCAAATCAAAAGGACGTGCAGGAGGTGTAGCTTACGCAAGAGTAGTTGAACCTCCGGATTGGGTTATGGATTACTGGCACCCATTGGAAAAGGCACAGTATCCCGAATATTTCAAAACGAGAGAAAGAAGGAAATGCGAGTATATTAAAAAATGGCAGGCTGGGATTTTATGAAGAGTTAATGATTGTGTTATGTTATTTAGTGAAGAGTCACAACTCTTTATTAATTAGATGATTATTAATGATCCATTAATACTATTTATCCCTAAATATTTTAAAATTAGAGAATGTAGAAAATGCGAATATATGAAAAAATTGCATGTCGGAATCAAATAATTTTTGTTTTATTAGATTAATATTATAATAATAGTTGTCATTCAATATTTTTGTTTTATTTTATTCGGATTTTTTTTATTTTTAATTTCAACCGATATCTTAAAAAATTATTAAAAAATATCAACCGATGATACATATTGGCTATTAATTAGAGTTTGTTTTTAAGAACGTCTGTCATTCTAATTCTATTGTAATATGACTAAAAAAAACTGAATAACAGATCAAATCCAGATCTTAAAAATGTTATGGCCCAGAAAACAATTATGACCACTTGGAATAAAAGGCTAAAGCAGTGGAATAGTCTAATCCTAACGACGAATACTGAAAAAGACTGAGGGTATTGAAAATAAAACAACAATAATATCATCCAGATCATTTTAATTTATATCATGTTATGGGCCCAGATAAATAAAAGGCACTGGTAGTGATATAAAGCCAAAATGGCTAGCACCTCGTACCGTATTGAGCTACTAAACAGAAACAATTATGACACTTGGAAGGTTCAGGCAAAAGCCGTTATGATAAAAGCAGTGGAATTATGTTCTAAATCCTAAACCGCCGAATACTGAAAAAGATCCTGAGGTTATTGCAAATTATGAAGATAATGAACTCCTCGCCAGGTCAGAACTTCTTTTGATAATTTCATCTCAAGAAATAAAAAATGTAAAAAACTGTTTAACTGCTAAAGATATATGGCAAAAACTCGAGGATATTGAAATTATCCCAATATTAATATTACCATATTGTCTAATAAACTTAATCCCCGCGGCATGGTGCCAAGAACTGCTGCATTATTGCTTAATGTTGAAGAGCTAACGTAACCTGCTTGCACGAAATGATATAACCCTATAAAAATAAAACTAAACAAGATTTCTGCCAAATTTGTAAGAAGCAAGGGCATAAAACAAAAAATTGCCGATTCCGTAATGACCGTAAGAAACAAGAACATTAGATCGTTCTTCGCTGCACAAAATATTTGTTTAGCTACGGAACCAAATAAAAATACAAAGAGATAGTGTATTGATAGTGGATGCGCATCGCATATATGTCACAACTTGAAGAGTTACTCACAAATAAACAAATCTGATGGCATACTCAAATTAGCAGCCGATGACAGTACCGCTAAAATTGAAGGAAGAGGAAACGTGCAAATAAAAGTTGATAATAAAAACATAAAACTAGAAGACTCCGTGTCCGTACCAAATCTCGCAACCAACCTGTTGTCTGGTTCAAAAATAACAAAAAAAGGTAAGACCGTACTATTCAAAGAAAATACAGCGACAGTAAAAGATTTGTAAACAAGGAAAATTGAACTTGCAGCTAAAAATATTAATGGGCTTTACTACTTAATGGAGAAAAAGGATGATAATGACTTTAAATACCAAAAAAAAACTACTTTTAATGCTGAAATTGATGATTGGCACAGAAAACTTGGACATATAAATGAAACAATTTTAAAACAAGCTTTAAAAGATGAAGCAATGATTGGACAATGATAGAGGTTTACTGGAAATAAGATAAAATATTTACAATATGACAATGGAACAGAATATATAAATGAAGAATTCAATGGATATTTGAATCAATGTGGTATAAGTCGAAGAATTAGCTGTGCATACACACTGCAGCAGAATGGAACAGCTGAAAGAAAAAATAGGAGCCTACAGGAAAGGGCCAGATGCTTATTAATAGATGGTAATATGCCAGAAAAATATTGGGCTGAAGCTGTATCCACCGCAAATTATTTATTAAACCGTACTCCATCTAAAGTAATCGAAAACAAAACTCCATTTGAAATATGGGTTGGAAGAAAGCCATCCGTACAATTCGTCATCCAATTTATATCACTTAACCTTTGAGGCGAGAAAAGAACCAGCTCTCTTGTCACCAGCCGCGGCGTTTAGCCTAGGACGAAACCTTTAAACAATTTCGATGTGCGGGGATCCCACGGACCCAAAGTTTCAACAGCAAATGGCACAAATACATAATCTAAACTTCAGCTGCCAGCGATGCCGCCCCGGCCCTGCCGAAGTACCCCTTAGATTAAAGGCAGCCAAAGTGTCTATGCAAGTGGCATCCCAAACAAGGACTTTCCCAGTCTCTAGGGGATTAAAATAAAATTAGTCTACGAGCACAGAAGAAAATAATTAATTCGTATAATTCATTTATCTCGGAAGTTAAGTTTCTTGATTAATAACGAGCAAACTATAGTATCTAGATTCG